GTATTTATTTAAGTTTAATTTATTAATGTGTTTGTATTAATATTTCAAAGTTCTTTGAAATACTTTTTGTGTCCTGAAATTGCCAAGTATTTCTATAAAAAAAAAATAAACAGGCATACAAAATTGTTAATAACCAGTATTATATGATTAATTTTTCATTTAATAGTTGATTTAATAGCATTTAACTTATTTCATGTCTAAATTTTCTAGACAGAAATCCTGTGTCTAATTTTTATTATCTTTTCTAAGACGAAAATTTTCAAAGAGGAATGAATTAAAGCAAGATTGAGCAAAACATATCTTTGAAGCTAAATGTATTCTAAGAAGTACAAAAAATGTAAAAATGATTTTGCCCCGCCCCAAATCAGTCATTTAAACTATTCCAACCATTCAGGAAAACGATAAACATTGTGAACATAAAAAATCTGCACATTTTTATATATACTTTAATAAAAGGAAACGTGTTCTTTCTTTATATATATATATAAGAAAAGGAACTCATTTTCCTTTCTAATCTTTTGAGAGTCGTTAAATGATTGGGTTCAAATGACGGATCCGACAACTCAATGCGCATGCGCGGTTAATGTGGTGCGGATAGCTCAAACGGCTAATCACACCACTGGTGCGAATAGCATCGGCCATTTTCAACGACATTTTTAAACTGCGAAGTTTTTGAACCGTCTTATTTTCGACAACGATATTTTGTTACCACGATGTTTTTGAACTACGATGTTTTTTCTCTTTACTTTCTTTTCTCCCACGACGTTTTCTCCGCGATGTGTTCGGCTGTAACCTCTATTTCCCTGATACATATTCATTTTTCAATGCCACACAAAAGGAATTGCAAGGAAGAAACATCAATCTTGCTAAAACTATAGAATAATTACTTATCTTTGGTTTTAGTCCTAACATTTACTTATTTATATCGACACTGAATCGAGGGAGTGTCCATTATTAGAAAAGACTATATTTACTCAGAAGGTATACTGAACGTGCCATCATGGCTTTATAGAACCGCTGAGTTGCGACATATTTACTCTTAATATTTATTTTAATGCGAGAAGAGTTGACTGCGTGGAAGAAGGATGTTTAAACAAGCATAAGTCTTATTCAAAACATATGGATACTCTTAGTTTTGGAATTTAAAAGTCATTCAAGAGGAAATATTCCAAAATAAAAGTTGTTATCGAACCAACAGTCTTGACTCTTTCGTATTCTTGCCTAATGAATGCAAACTTTAGTTAAGACACTAATTTATTACAGAAAACAAGAAAAAGATTGAATATTTTTGAACGAAGTAATTTAAGAATTATAATTACAATTTTATACCAAATATTAAAAAAATTGCATCAACATATCAAACGCAACCATCACATTGATTAAAATCGAATCCTTGTACAATATGAATCCGTGATTTTGATCTGAAAATTTGTTTATACATGTAAAATTAAAAATAATATAATACAAAAAATAATAAAACATAAATTTAATGAATCATGTTTTTTCAAAATTTTTGTTACATTCTGTCTAGTTTTAACTAATTTATTTACGTATTTGTATTACGTTTTAAGCTTTATATTAAAGAGAAAAAGAAAGCGGGTCGATACAGAAAATCGTTCTTTTAAAACAGGCAGTGCAAGAAAAGGGTTGGAAATTTTTGCTTTAAATATTTAGTCTGGCAGCTACAGCACATCAGGTGTCATTCTGCCCCTTTTTCTTACAGAACTTCTTCCAATCGCTCGTTATAATGGGATACTACGAGTATTGATTTTATACACCCAGCAATAATTTGGTTTATACATATTGTATTTCCCCCCCCTGAGCTTTTTGAGGGTCAGGTTATGGAAATTAGAACAATATTCTCATAATTCCTCCTTTTCTCAATGCGCTCAGAGAATGAAACCGCCTAAATTTTAAAATGGGTTCGTCTCCGTAATGATGGTTTACGTATTACAAAGACAAACCCTTCGCAGGCTACCTGGGAAAGTCACGCCGAACCCTTTCCTTTCTAACTGCTGAATTTTATGCCAACCTAATACAAAAACCGATCAGTCACAGAGAAGCAAATACAAACTGATATTCAGTCCATGAAATGTACCAGTCAGCTGCAGGTTCACTTTCTCTAATTATTTATGAATGATATACGAGACCTAAAGGATAACAGAGACAATAATAGGAACGGACGAGAGTCTTACAGAGAAGTAGAAATGAAGATATCTTATTTTTGTAATGTTAATATTAATGTGCATTCATATTGGAATGTAGGTTTCTTGTAAAGGAATAATATTATGATAGTTACGTTGCAGTTCATTCTTGACTACTTTTCATTTATTTTCTTACTTCCTGTGCTTCAGAAATCAAATTATTCGCATCATTTTCCTCTCTCAGTTTTCCGATGATAAAATTAGTGAAAAAAAGGGAGGGATAGGCGAGAAAATATGGTATGTACATTCATGGGTATTGAAATCCAACACTAAGAAAAAATAAGTTTAAAGGAATATGAAATGTAGGCAAAGCATTTGTCTAGGTAACATATTTATTTGATTAATGTTTCAAAGTCACAGGTATAAGTACGCGAGAGAAAAGCCATTTCAAATGTGGTAGTACATTAATTAATAGCCACTGCAGACGACACAACGTTGGTTGGAAGCATGCATTGTGTCGTGGAGGTGCCGTAAGTCATTTTGCGGTATGGAGTTTCATGCCCGTTTCACTTGATCGGCCAAATCAGCTACGGTCCGTTATGGTTGTAGATGCCGCTGAATTTACCCTCCAGTCATGTTCCATATGTTCTCGATGGGAGAATGAAAGGATGATTTTGCAGGGCAAGGCGACACGTCGACACTTTGTAGGAGCACATTGAGTAGTGGCAGCAAGTATGGGGACGAACGTTATGCTGCTCAAAAATGCCTCCTGGAATACTGCTCAAGAATGGCAGCTAAACCGGTGCAGTCACCAATCAGACTTACATATCTTCTAGCAAGGTGTGTACAATAACGACCAGAGTTTGCTGTCACATGAAAGTTCTCACTGTCTGGGTAGCAAACTCGTTCTCCTACCATATATCCTGACGTGGGTCCAATGTGCCTACGTGGCAGACAGCTTGATTCCAAGCACTTACTTGGCTTCATTCTATTATACAGCCAAAACTGGCGCCAAGACAGATACGACTCTCATCTGAGAACACAATAGATCTCCAATCCACAATCCATAGAACTCTGACTTGACATCACCGAAGTCGCAAATGGCGGTGAGTTAGTGGTATAGCCGCTGCATGACGTCTGGCTCGAATCTGTCCGTTAAGTAATTGATTTGTTACTGTTCGATGTATCACTCTGGTGCAACAAAAGCTAGAATGTCTTCTGCAGATGCAGTGTGACGCGCCGCAGAGTCTTCCCTTCGGGTGGTGGCACATGGGTTTTTGAGACAGTACTTCCCGTGACCACTGCTACAGGCAAGTATATGTAGATACATCCTTGCTAAGTCTTTCTGAAATATCACGAAAGAAAAGTGACTTTCTCATAGCGCTACTACATGGTATCGTTCAGACTCAGTAAGTTACTGATACTTTGTCGTCTCCTTAAAGGCATTCTTGACACATACCTTTCCTACAATATTCAGTCCGGATGATAATAAAGCACAGGAAGTTTAGATCTCCGTATTTAAAATACACATGATTTGCACGTTCGCAGTGAAACTAATAGTGCGACACTTATTCGCCTAGAGCGAAATTTGAATAGATGTCATCTTTTAGATATGCAAAACATGTCTCCCTAATTTCGTTTACCTAGCATAACTAGTAATGCTAATAGTGCCACACATATTCGCCTAGCGCGAAATTTGAATAGATGCTACCTTTCAGATGTGCAAACACACCTCCCTAATTTTGTTTAGCTAACACAACTCTTTTTTTGGTGTTGGGATTTTATTTTCCATTAGTGTATAATGTGAAACTATTATTTGTTCTTCGCGAAAACTGATGCTTGAAAAACTTTAAACTCATGTTAAAGTTTCTACAAGCATATCCGATTTTAGGCTCTAGACCCGGCGTTTTTCTATTATCTGTCTATAGTTTATAAAAAGAAACAACATAATGATAAGTAGGCAGAAAGTATGACTTTTTAAAAGGCGCAATTAAATTTTATAGCTTTACAGGTATGTGCATGAAATAAAATCTTACAGCATGGTTATTGCAGGATCACTTGCACATGAAAAATTACGGATTTTAATAATGTGGTTCAATGATTGGCAACAGTCATTATAAAACATCAGTGAAATATGTTTTGAAGCTCATAAAATGTAATATCTTTTAAGTTTCTTTAGTTTATAATTTCTTATATTAGAAGTAGTTTTCAAAATTTCAGTTTTAAACCACTTATTAAAATCATTTTCAAAATTCTAAGTATGGGAAAAGCTTTATTTCATTTTTTTTTCCCCTGTAAGAATGCTGCTAAGCTGTATCATTGTTAAAAGTTAAATGTAAAAATTATCCTTCTTTGGTGAAAGGAATAAATATCACTCAGGGTAATGCTGTTTAAAACTTTTAATATGTATTATCTGAAAGTCTTGCAAAATTCCATATATATAAAAAAGACAGGATATAGAATAAATCCATATTCTTGGCTATTTTACGCAATCTGGCAAGTTGTCAGTTCTCAAATGTGCTGGCAATTGCCATCCGGTAAGATCTTCAAGTGATTTTGCAAATTAAAACAGTTCATTGTTTTATATTTGTCACACATTTTATAAACATGTGTACCATAATTGTAATTAATGGAATACGCTTTTAATGTCATATATTGAGTACTTCATCAATACAGAATAATTTTTTTTTCTGGTACAACCACAGCACTTCAAAATTTTAAAAACTTAAGCGAACTTAAATATAAAATAGTATATTTAAGACACACATTCCGAAAATTAAAACTGACAATAACTGCAAAACACCTTTGCTTTAAAAATGTTTTTTTTTTAAAACTTTTCGCAGAAATATAAAAGAATAACACACATATATTTTCATTTTATTTAAAAATCATTTCAACAACATTTACATTTATACAAGACATATTTTCTTAGAAATAGTTGTATTGGCACTTTGTATCAATGGAAAGACCATGAATACTACAGAACACAAAAGCTTGCATGTTTCATTGACAACTCTTTACATTCCTTAAGCAGATTAAATTATTCCGAGGCCAGCCTCGAAATATATTTCCATTGATTTATGATTAAATCACAGCCTCAATAACAGAGTTAAGTAACAGAGTACAAGTATTTTACAACCACTCTTCATACAATAAATACAAATGTCTACATTTCCTGTTATTGAGTTACATAACAATTAATTTAACCAAATTATTCCGAAAGGCAAGACACACTATAACAGAATGCAATGTTTGGAATTGTAAAAAAATCCATATTTAAGTTTCAATGTTGGAAAGTAGTCTAAAGCTGTTAAAAAGTTGCTTAGAACTTGGAGATAAGCCATTTAAAAAAAATGTAGATTATATCAAAACAGGATATGTGTAAAATAAATTCACAAGAACTATTACCAAAGATTAAACGGGTCATGAAATATTTCACAATAAAATTTAATGAATAAATAGCATTTGATCAAAAAATGATGTTCTCTAAATAACAAATGCGTAATTTTGAATTTTGCACAATTTATGCCATAATCTCAAACTTGATATTTTAACACTGATGGCTGCCGACAAAATCTTTAGATTATCTGATATATTATTAAGAAAATAGCAGTATAATTAAGAATTTGTTGTATGTGCCTCTACTTAGCAGAAAAGTTGCAGAAGTGGAAATTTTTAAACACTAACAGCGATTAGATTTTTAAAAAAGGAAGCCTATTACTCTGGACCATTCTACTTAATATACAAGTTAGAATATTTCTTTTTGTGGAAGTTTTAGATGAGAATTAAGTCTAAAACCATTCCTACTATTGCTAACATGTTAAATGTTATGAAAAAGAAAGGAAAGTGGAGAAAGGTTGGGGGGGGGTAAATTAATCTTAAAGATGTAACTCCAGTTTTACATCTTCAAGGCCAATCAAATCATACTCATCATAAATAAAAACATATACTGAATATCTTTTATACAGTCTTCAAAGTACAATAGCTTGCATTAATTTAAAGCAATTTCACTGGTGAATTTCTAAATGACCTTATATAATTGTGAATACGACTGCTTGTTTATTTACAGTTTTAAATACGTATCTTAAAGCCCTGTTTCTCTTTTCTGAACTACTAAATTTGATTTTTAAATTATTACTAGAGCATTTTGCCAGAGAAATTAAAATCTGTCTTATAATCATTAATAACTAAATCAAAGCAATTTATTATTAATCAAAGCAATTATTTCCATATTAAGAAAAGTTATAAAATTACTATTGTAAGTATGTCCAAATTACAATTTTTTTAAGTGTACATACTGATGAAACTCATGCAACAAGGATGTTGTATTCAAGGCTCAGATAGCTAAAGTACACTTTCATTTTTTATCTCATTATAGTAAAACTTCAGTGTATGAGTAGTGATTATATGAAAGAAAATGATGCCTTGAATAATTTTATTGTAATAACAGAAACTAATAATCACTTTACCATTACACTTTTCAATAAGTATAGCATATGCATTGTATGCATGACAGACTAACATCATGACTTGACTGGAAAGTATAATCAAACTATAAAGACTGGGTTCACAGCTGTCAGAACAAAAGACATTCATGATCCAAGACATGATGCTTTTAGCTTGCAAGGACTAAAATGTAGAAAGATCTTAGTCACTGCAACCCAAGAGAAATTATTCATTCACTTTTTACATTACAGGTTAATTATCATGTAGCTCTTGATAATACTGCAAATTCACATGATGATTTTAGGGAAATAAACAAAAATAAGACCATATTCAGTTACTATTTTATAATTTTAGCCATAACAGTTTTTTAGACTTATACAGTAGTATTAGAACGATAAACAGTTTCCCTATTTTAGAGGCATAAAAAATAATTATTTTTGGAATTTTCAGTTAACTCTGCTGATCAGTCTAAACCACTATAACCTCTTCAGAACTTTACAATACATATTACAGATTTTTCTTAGACTATTGTTTATGTTATTGATAAGAATGACAATAACAAAATAAGAAATAAATGGCAGTGTGACATACAAGTCAAACAGAGAATACATTTTACAATATAGCTTTCATACTTCACAAAAACAAAACACTACACTTTATGACTTAATGAACAGGGTGATGTATAACTATTGTACTCTCAAAATAACAAAAAGTAATAAAAATAATAACCACTTGGAATGTAATTCCAAATACTTTTTACATCAACAAAAATAAATTACTTTACAAAAGCATGAAAAATGAACACAGCATTTACATAAATATAACATAAGAAATGGAATATATCTGTAATTTACAATGCACTGACAGGCCACAATGTTTAAATTCAACCACTGAATTTAATTGCAGAGATAAACAATTACAATCTGGTTTTCAAGAGAAACAGAAAAAAGTTATTCAGCACCTAATGTACTTTAGAAATCAGATTGCACATCCACAATATTAACACGAATTGTAAAATGAATGCATTTCGTGCTTTACATAATAACTACATTAAAATAGCAAAATTTGATTATCAATATCTACATTTATATGTAAACATTAAGAAGTTAAAAAATGGCATAATCAATTAACATTACAAATTTTCAAGGGAAGATATACTTTTAAATAAAAAAAAAAAGTAAAAACAAATGGGATAAAATATGTTTGATTATGAATTTTCTCTTTTCTTACAAAGTCTCCATAATGCAGATTTTGCTTTGAAAATGTATAATGTATAGTAATCTAATTGCAGATGATGCTTTTTAAGAGTGTATATAATAATTTTTAAATTTAAATCTAAAAAAAAAATCTAGCTATAATATAAATTCTTATATGAAATTCTTACTACATTACAGTATAACTTCCATTAACTAGCACATCATTTATTTTTACATTAGAATAATTTTCTATAAAAAACTGAATAATATAATCTGCATTGTTAATTTTATAAATGAATTTATGCACTTTAATTGATTTTCCAGAGTTCTCATATTATGAAACACATAAAATATAGGCAATAATTTATATAAACCTCTTTTAATTTATCATTTAAGAGAGATCTAAGATCTAATCCTATCTATATACAAAACAAAAATTATTTCTAACTTCAGAACAAATACTTCTTACTTTGATTTACAACAATTCATGTTCAAATACAAGCTCTTTATTTCATATATGATTAGAAAAAACAGTCAAAATTACTCTACTAGCCACATAGAAAACTGAATAATTGATTTATAGAACAATCTGCATTAAAAAGTAGGACATGCATGAGGAAGAACATTATGTCTTGCAGCCATATCAATCCATTCAACTCTACGATCATTTATAGCAACATTCCTTAGACAGCCCATAAAATTATTTCTGTTATGGATAGCACCTGTAGGCATATCATCTAAAAAAAAAAAAAAAAGTAATAATGAAATGATTATGACATGATGTTAAAAATAAATAATTTTAACTACAGCTTCATATACTAGCACTGAATAAAATTTACTTGAAGTTCTAATTATCAACCTTTTAAAAAAAATTATATCAGCTAAGTATAAAATGAAATTTGCAATAAGGTAATGCATATGAAAAAACACAATATAATTACTTCATATATAAGAAGATGACAAGCTTGGAAATAATTCTCTTCTAAATTATAACAGTAATAAGAAATTATGAAGCATAACTACAATTTATGCATGAAGAATATTTTGCAGAAATACAGAAAATATAAAATTTAAGAATTATAAAAAATACTTCATGCAATAGATACCAGCTTCTGTGCTTAATAAAAACTTTATCAGAACATTTTAGATGGCTATTTGGCCAGTGAATAGCAGGCAAGAATCATAACTTTAGGAATATTCAGCAATAATTTACACACAATTCAAAGTCTAATAGTTTGTTCCCTTACCAAACACATTCTGAAATACAGAATGGCTTATAACCAAATCAAATACACATACAACTCGGTGTGTAATACTTTTGAGCCATGCTGTACATCCTGAATTATCAAAGTTTAATAGACATGCTAAATAACCACAAATTAGTACTTTACAGTCATACTAAAAACATCATTAACTGTCAACAGTAAATCAAAACAGTACACTAGAGACACTTTAAAGCACCTAAAAAATTTAACACACAGACACATTTCTAAATAATTACATGACAATGGATACCCCAAATAAAAATATAACCCCAAACAAATTTTCTATTTTTTTAAGTATATATGCACACATATCAAGGAGATTTCATTGCAGTAGCTACTCAAAAAGACCAATAAATTAATAAAATTAGCATGCATTTCGGTTTCGGTTTGGATGTATTTGGGTTGCGATATCCAATATATAGCAGGCATGTGCAAACGTGTATCACATATATTTTACAGGCAATACATATATATATATATATGAATCCAAATGATTTTTACTAGCTCTCATCACTTCAGTAAATAATTTATTCACATGAATTATCTATGAAAATATCTTTTACTGAGTATGCTATTATTTCATTAAAAGTATATTTTAAACATAATTGCAGTTGATGTTTCCTCAACTCCTTTATAAGACAAAATATTATAATAAAAAATTATTTATTTATTTACGGAGATAAATTGGATGTAACTGCAGGTAGTCAGAGATGTACAGTTTTAAATATACACAATCCTATAAGACATAACATACATTAAAAAAATATGGTGTACAAATATGGTATATGCAAATGAAATAACAGCTAGCCCAGAATACAAAGATAAGCTAACAACAGTAATTTCAGCCAAAGAGAAACTGGAAATAAATGCAATATCTCCATATTAAAAATCTTACCAAAAAAAAAAAAAGTAGTGTCTCAACAACTTCACACAAACTTCTAGAATTATATTCATTACGAAATATAAAATGTAATGGAATTGAATTAAGGAAAATTGATAATTATATATTAGATGGATATAAAAACAAATAGTTACAAAATACATCCAAGAAAAAATATATTGTAGTGCCTTACCAGGAATTCCCCCAATATATAATGGACTCGCAGTGTTGGGTTCCAGTGGTATACTTTGACTTAATCCTACAGCCACATCAAACAAATCAACTTTCAAAGTGACTGTTTTATAATCATACTGAGCTGTAATCATATGCCATTGGCCATCACAAATATGATAAGCTGATTCAAAACTTCTTACTGCGCTGAAAGGCTTTTCTTCATTTCCAAGAATGACTGAAATCATCACCTATAAGTTTAAATTTAAGGTCAGAGATCCTAGACTATACAGGCATAATAAATTAAAGATACAGTTGATAATAAAAAAAAATACAGTCGCCTCTCAATTAACTGGAGTAATACTGAGGGTGATGGTTAATCTAGGAACATTTAAAAAATACACAAAAGATAATCTAGGAACATTTAAAAAATACAAAAAAGAAAAATAACTCAGAATTAATAGAAAAATATTAAACATTTAACTGTATTTTCAAGCATTTAATCTAAAGAAAATGTCCATTCTGTTACCTAAATTAAACCAGAATTAAAAATATTAAAAAAAGACTCTATAAGTAATGAAAAAATAATCATGGTTAGAAATCAAGAAGCTAATTTATAAATGACTTTAAAAGATGAATATTGACAAAGGAACTTGAAAAATATCATTCAATTCAAAGCTATGTAAAAACTTTTGATTAGATTTTTTTTGGGGGGAGGGGGAGAATTTCATCTGGCTAACATCATCTGCTATTGCTAATATGGCCACATTAATGTTATCAGAGATAAAAACATTGAAAAAAAAACACATCTTGATGATAATACAATTTATAATGCATTTGAAAATGAGTTTTAAATTGCTGAATTTCTCTTGTATTCGTATTAGGGAAGAATGAAAATTTCTATGAAATATTACACAAACCTGAAATATTATTCATCACAAGTTTCTGCTTTGTATACTAGGGCTTCTTAAACTTCTTTCAGTTGTGAACCCTTTTTATCACAGATTTTTTTTGGGGGGGCGATCCAGGACCCCATAATATTTGCTAAAATTTTGCAGGACCCCATAAGCATTGCACAAATCTGACACGCGTGTGAAGGTAACTGTCAATTTTTTCACTTGCACTGTAATATACTATTGCAGTTTTAGGTCATTAACTTTAATTTCTAATTTTAAGACATAGAACAATGTGAAAATTTTAAATAAGTAACAAACGAAATGACAGCATCATGTGCAAAAGCAAGTAAAATGAACGTTTATATTACAAAAAAAAGTGTTATGATTTTGTCTTTGCCTGCACTGTCTTATCTTTATCTACTTTCCTATACACTGTGTAAAAATATTTGGTAATTGTAAAATTATTATAATATAATAACTTAAAAAAATATCAAAATTGCTAAAATTTTTGGCGAACCACAGTTTAAGAAACTCTGATATATACAATAAGCTAAGTGGACTATATAAGGAGAGTGCGGAATTTCTATGAGAAATGTAATATTGTTACATTCACACACAGACTAACTGCTTAAGTACAAGCAAAACAACTTTTCACAATATTATTGCAAATTCTTCTTGGTCACATTAACTATATTCAGAAGTAAATCCAAAAAATGGTGCTACTCATGAAAAATTTGACAGCTTTTATTTGACATGCCAAGTCATAGAAAAAGTATACTATAAATTTTCAGATAAAACTTTTAAACTCAGATATCTGGTAATTTTTTGAATATTTGATAAATGTAATAGCAAATAATTTTGTGATGATCTCAGGTTAAAAAAATATTATTCTGTATTTTATTATTATCTATGTAAATTCACTCAAATTTAATATGGCTGAAAATGAATAAAAATATGAATAGATTAAAAGTACACTTTGTTGGTGGTTAACTTTAGTAAAAAGTGAGATTGTTTAATAACCTTCCCCACAGTATTTAAAACTGAAAAATTACACATATCTGTCATAAGGAAAAAAAATTTTAAAATATATAAAAAAACATTTTATTGGATAGATTAACTTACACTTCCATTATACAATTCCAGTGCTATAGATGGGATCCCAAACTTTTCGGAAAGAGCTAACAGAACACCATTTTGTCGCGTAGTTTTGAATTCCATTTGAATATCCAACTTCATACCCAAATCAAATTTTGTATCTGAAAAGAGAGGTTAAGTTTACTTACAAAAGTTCTTAATCAAGAATATTGATTAAGACATAAAAATTAGGACATTATAAAGCAATGATTTTTTTTAATGTGGAATGCATGATATTATATTATACAATACACTAAATATTCAATATCTGGACCTCCTTAAATAGCCAAAAAACTAAATAAATAAATAATATAAAAAATACCCCTTTAAAATCTAGGAATGAAAAATATAATACTCAACAAAAGGAAACAGATGTAATATAAATGTGATTTTTCTTCCATCGAATTGAGAATAATATATGTCACTTTTAAACACTTACTGCCTAGGGAATAGCACTGCTGCCAGTGACAATACTTTGACGGACATTGTTTTGATGTTGGTCAGGATAACAGTTTTTGGTGCTGCAAGGACTGTGGCAGATTAGCATTTTTCTATCTGATCTAAATAATAAAATGAAGCACCAATGTTGCAGTGTCCACATTTCTTCTTACTAGCTTTAAATTAATAATCTAAAAATCTAAAAATTTTCAAAATCTGGAGTCTTTGAATTCCTGATGATTTCCGGTTCTCAGACATTGTGTTTTAATAATTTAGTTCAAATAAAATATTACAGAACAGCGATATTCAGTAAAATGAATGCTCTCATGGTAATCACTACCTTAACGAATGTATCACACATTCATAACATTTCGGAAGAACAATTGTTACAATATTTCTGCTTTACCGTAATATAAAATAATGGATAATTATCACTATGGATCATTTTGCAGTTACCATATAAAAGGGGAACTAGTTTTCCATTACAAATGATGGTTGATGATGGGATCCGATCCTGACAGGTGATGGTGTTGAAAACGTGCTTACAAATTTCTGTGACAGAGAGGGGGAAAATGTTTGTTTTTTCTTTTAGTGATAAAGCTGGTAGAAAAACTGTTTAAAACAGTTGTTCGTTTGAAACAAATGAATATGTGAAAGCAGCATATGATGGTCTTCTCTGAAAGTGAGAAGCATTTCTGAGAATATAAATAAGTACCAGAGTACAACATCACTCTTGTAAAATTACCACATCCACAGAAGATTGAAATTATTTGTAATCATGGAAAGAGTTCAATGCATTTCTATTTTACTCGCACAAGAAAATATGAATTTATTTAATTTAGTACCATGAAAACATACCATATATTGCATAGGCATCACCAGCAAAATATGCTCCTGGTTCAATAGTTGAAAAGCATTGCCCCACATTCTGTAATTCGCCTTTGGCTAAATCTAAAAACTTTCCATTGAAATTGAAATTTGAAATGCATCCTTTGAAACTTTCCATTACCTTAAAAAATTCAAAATACAATTTTTATGATATAATAATAAATATAATAATTTCTTAATTCCGCCCCCCCAACCCCCGCAAAAAAAATTTCTTTCGAAAACAATAATTGCACTTACGACTCTATGTATAGCTTCCATTTCTTCAGGAACACCACCAACATACAGTGGTGATCTAACGACAAGTCTCCTTCGAACTTTTAAAGTTATATCTTTCTTTTTGTGGTCAACTTGAAACATCATATGACGTCCAGTTTTGGAAACTGCAATCTAAAGTGTCAAAAATGATAAAATGTATTATCACACTGAAAACATATATTCAATAATTATATATTTAATCACTCTTGATCAAATTTCCATACAAAACATAACTGAACCTTTTAATAATATGAGCTTACTCTATAATTACTTAAATCCAGTAATTCTTAGCAGTTTAAATGTTAAATATATAGCATACATTAATTACAAATTTATATACGCAGTGTTTTTAAATAAAATATTTTAACTAATTATGTTGTAATTAAATTCAAGCATACTGAAAACTCAAATGAAATTCTTAAGAATGCCTTTCAAAATAAAATTTTATTATATATGCATTAACTGATCTTAATTTTTTATTATTTATTTGTCTTAAAAATTTTTGTTCTTTATTTAAAATTAATGTGAAATTGAAATGTATTATAACTATCTAATTATTAAAAAATAGTTAAATTTTATGCAATGTTAAATGTATGGAATTATTTTCTGCATTGCAATTAAATTTCGTATAACTTATTTTTTTCCAAAGTGTATGTATTGGGTAAAACTTATAATGCAACATAATACAAATTTAAAAATAGGCAATTAAAAGTGAAAAAAAAATAATAAAAACTTAGTGTACATAAGGTCAGTTTATACATTGATAAGAAAATTAAATAATTTCAGGAAGACCTGAATATTATATTGATACATGAAAAAATACAATAGAATTCAAAATACAATAGTTACACTTCATTTAGAGATATTAGGTTGATTTTGACGATTATAGCAACCTTTTAGCATTATTGGTAACAAGTTTTCTTTTTCAATATGTAAGCAATATCTCACCGATTTTGCCTTTATAAGTGCAGTTAGACAAATATTTTGCTAAATGTCACTGATCTTGTATCCCAGCAAAAGATCAACATTTACCAAAATTAATTGCAGCACAGTGATTTCTGATCATTCTTTTTCTGGAATAAAATACGCTATATCCCCCCCCCAAAAAAAAATAGAAATGGATCATTTTTACACACACCAATTTTCATATTTTTATCTTTTAATTCTGTAGTTTGTTTAGAAATCTGATCCAACTGATTTAATTTAGATAAATTTTCAGTGACTGCAGGTACATAAAGGTCATCTCTATGACACTAAATCACAACCTACTATTTTTGTATATAAAAAAGCACTGAGAACAATTGTTTGCATCATAAAATATATATTTATTTTTGAATAATGGAAAAAATTTAAAAAATTCTTTAAAAGTTAGAAATGACAAATGTTTAGGCATATGATTTAATTTGCTGTTTTACTCCTATGGCAATTTTATTATGCGAAGTTTCATGAAGCTGGTTTTTATTGTACATAAAAAATAATAATCTCTAAAAACTTAATTATTTGCTAATATTTTGTAATGAATTATGTATACTGCATGCTGTATCATCATATAAAAAGTTTAGTAACATCAAAAATGGGAAAGATTTGCACGGAAAATACAGCTTACAAAATAATGAATAAGAAACTAGAAGGCAAAGAACTAGAAAACAACACTTTGCCCACTTCCCACTAGAAAGACGTAAGTTAATTAATGTTTTTCTGGCTTTTTTATATCTTCATGTCATTCCTTTTCTTTATATATATTTTAAATTTAATTTTATTTTTGATTTGTTTTTGCAAAGATTGCATTATATTTCTTATATTTTGTAATTTCTAATGTTTATTTCAATTACTTTGAGTTCTATTTTCATAATGCCAACTTCCAATGTTTAATTTTACAAATAGATTTGATTAAAATGCATAAACACGAGGGTGTCGTAGGTGACAATCACTCGAAGTAATTTATCAATTTTACTGCAAAAATTGCTTTTCACTTAAAATTGAATTAGCGAAAATGCTTAATCAGAAAGAGTTCTTGAATGTTCTGTATTGGTTCGTGATTCCTTCAATTCACGGAAATATTTGGCCTAACTTAAATTGCGAGTTTGGCATCGCCTTATTACTTGAGTAAAGGACGAAACACCTTCGTATTCATTTCTTAATCATTGTTCATTGAACGGGAGTTGGTTTGTTCCCCTTGAAAAGTCAAAAATTTCCGATCAATGGCAATGATTACTTGCTTTTAATTTCTTTTTACAATTGAAATTTTGTTATTCATGATTTAATTCAAGTCCCCGTTAAACATTTTTAATCATTATTAATTATCAATACCCAAAATAAGTATACACTTTATATATTTTCAAAACTAACCTGATTTGAAAGCTATAACTATTGCATTAAACAGTTGTAGAGAAACTTACATTATGCCAATTGCCATCACTAAGGAAAGCAGGATAGGAATCCCGCCTGTGCTTTCTGTCAAACATATTTAGGACTGCTCTTCCTCCTAGTAACATAACAGCAAGATGTGAAGCACTGCGCTCATTTTTGACCAAAAATAACAGCCCATTTGGATAATAGGTTCTGAAGTCAAATGTTAAATTAAAGCTGAAATAAAAAAATTATTTTTATTAATTAAAAAATATGTCATAATAATCCTCTAACAGAAATATCTACATAGAATCACCATTAAACCAGTTTCATTGACATCTAGCGATATAACTTGAAGCAGGTTAAGTAATAACACTAAGAGGTGCCATAATTAATTTCTAAAATATTCACCACTAAAAAGTTATATGGCCAAAAAATGGAAAATGTGTACGTGGCGTAGCCAGCTCAAATTTCGGGGGAAGGGGGTTACGACTCCTATGGCTATACTGTTCATCATCAAATATATAGGTGATTATTTCATGACAAATATATTATGTTAATGGCAGTTATCTTAATATAAATAATAATTATATTACGAATTTTATTAATAATAAAATTATGTAACATAATTAAGGATATATTGCATTTCATTATCATATTTATAATTATTACCTTACAAACATACTGAATGGATAATTCAATATTTTTGTTTTTAAATTATTTAAAATGATTATTAAAATATTAACATAATTTTGAAATTCATCTTTCTTTGTTTCATAATACAACTATAAAGATAAATAAAGACTAAAGACCTCAAATCCATATTTATGTTGTATATAATTATATAATAATTATGAAATAAATGCATAAAAGCTGTAAATACATAATTTATTTTGGACATGAAATTAAACTGGCATCTTTTTTTTTTAATTTCTTTTTTTTTAAGGCAAACATTTTTTTGGCCTTTCATTTTTGTTCGGGAATTAAAATATTGCCCGAATTCCGTTTTCCGTGGCTGTAAACTGGCAAATATATCCATAACTGTCAATTGCTATTTCTTTGGTATAATGAATATGCATTAATACCAAAGAATTTCTGTGCTCTTCCGTTATAGTAGTTCTATTATAATTTTATAACCTTTTCAAAGCACTTGCAGAACGTTCACATTCACAAGATGTTATCGGCAGATGTAGCTTCTATGTGTGCAAAAGCACATCAATATTTAGGTAAAATGATTTTATTTGAAGCTTTTAAAGCCAAAACTGGCGTGTGTGGAAGCTTTGCTTTGGGAATAGACATAAAATGCCATCGCCAACGTTTCGTCTCTTCGATTAGAAATTCCGCAAAGGGTAAATCATCTTTATATATATCACCTTATTTATCCACAATTTCATGTACACGATCAGCACAAACTGATGGCTGTATGCAAAACAGGGATGATTGCAGTCTTTTGAAAATTTGAAAATTGAGATTTAAATGGAAAATGAGATGGTCAAGTAAAGGGATTGCTAAAATAGTTTTATGATAATTAAGCACAGAATCACAATGAGCATTATTTCAATAGAGTTGCTTTTCGAAATGATGTGTAGCAGTTTAAACTGTACATCTAATTTTTTACACATTTGCCCATCATGATCACATATACTCTCAAAACTCTAGGTTGTCTCTCAAGTTTAACTGTACTTCCTTTCTAAATGAGATACATAATGATATGCTGTTATGAATGTTACAATGAAAGTAAATGAAATGATTGAACTCCAGAACCATAGCATCTGGCTTACATTTGCGCACTTCCATTGATTATGCATGTAAGCATCTAGTTTAGTTGAGGCACACAATGTACCCTTAGAGCTTCAATTTTATCGAAAAAGCTTAATAAAAATGCTGATATGCCTTATACTGCATGATCCATCTTGTCCGGCAAAGGTCTAATATTTTTTTTGCCGACCTAAATCATATGAGGAAACTCGACCATATGGGTTTAATGTAACCAAAAATGCAAATTTATTAGCCGCCAAAACGTAAGACACTATACAGTACAAATAGACTTATATTAAAACTTAGCCATTTAATAATATTACACAGAAGAACAAATATATTCATAACAGAAAATGAATAATACTGAAAACACTGTTTAAAACTTAGCGTATGGTAGATTAAATTCACAATTTTTTCTCAATGTAAGTAATAATATTTTTAATTTAAAACAATAATTTGAATTTAAATAAAGATGGATTCCAGGCAGTGCTTTGTCTGCAAGATAAGAGTTAACGACTTCCAAGCTACAGAAAGCAATTTTGGGCTTTTTATATTATTGAGGGACTTGTAGTTTTTCTGTTAGCATTCTTCATTTAAATGGTTTATTGGAAGTTATTATTTGAATATAAAATTTAATTATTCAACTATTTTATCTGTGTGAAACTTGAACGTGTTAAATACCGTGAGTCTTTTTTTTAAAACGACAATCATTTATTGCAGACACAATTTTGAACTGCTAAGTAAATAGTCGCCGTTCTCAGAAATACCGATCACTTTTATAGATGATCTTCGAAGGAAGATGGTCAATATAATAGGATTCCTTGTATTTAATTTGTTTCTAAAACAGAAAAGGGAAAATATATTAGTTTATGGATTAGAATTTTATGAAAGTTCCACTAACACTTTAGAAAATAGATATGATCGATCACATTTAAACTTTTTCATAAGCAATAAGTCAAATTGCATATCGATTCGGTCTTTTTAATTAACAGAAGCAGTACAGATTAACTTATTTACAGCTGATTCTTCAATTTAAAAGAGGCCTTTGTACTTTTTCTCCCATCCCTAATTCAATGATTCTCACATTTCTTAGAATTTTTAATAGAATAGAAGAGATTAAACAAATCAGTTCTTGGATATAGGAGCAAGGAATATGTCATAGCATATGGATAAGTACATTTAGGATAAAAAAGGACATTTTCCTTTTACAGCTCTATAAAATCGGTGAAGTTGAGACAGTATTAGCAAATTTTAATCTAGTCATTCCTTTGTGATTAGTGTTGCTCTTCGAAGAAAAACTTCAAATAATAATTAAAATAACTATTAAAATAACTAACTGTCCCCTCATTAATATCCAACATTAAAGAGATAATTTTGTTATGAAAATTATTTCTTCTAACTGCGCAGCTTGGAAGCATTAACTATCTGTATGATATCTCTGAATAGTATAGTTAAATAAAATTAAGATTATATCAAATGAAACTAATGTTTCGGGTACAATTCATAAATGCAGGTAATTAAAAATTGAAAAATTTTACCACTTAACAAAATTTTCAGTTTAGATAAACACATTTAAATACACAATAGCACATACCGCATGAATTTTTTGAATGCATTAAAAATTATTTTATTTATTATAATTAAACCTATTATTATAATGGCTATAATTATGTATTAGTTAGAATTTTCAAATGAGAGGGAAAGATTGGTTGCATTTTTTCACGAAAGAAATGCTTCCAGTAGAGTCCACTTTGTTAGAAAATGTACGTTTTTGGAAAAAAGAACCTCAATTTTTTTTTCACTTTTTTCTAATTCATGCTTCCTTTTTTTCAAAGGCATCCCATATTAAGTGATTTGTATTAATCCAATACAAGTTAAAAGATTATTTCTAGTAACACAAGACATAGCAAAATTTGTAAGAAAAAAAAAAGACTTTAGATCAGATTCATTACTTTTCACTTTATCATGATCAAATTGGCCGGTGTATGTGTGTGTGATTATGGCAAAGCCTCAAGGGCTATCTGCCTAAGAGGAGGGATGTCTTCGTGGAGGACTTTCTAAGGGAAACTGGCTCGTATATTCATTACACATGGGGAAAACCCTGAAAACGCCCATGCAACCAGCCCGTTCGCAGGATTCCAACCTCGGACCAAACTACCAGTGTTCAGCAACTTTAACGCTTGGCAGCTGGTGGGCCCAAATTAGCCAGATCCCTCATAGTTTACTCAAAGGGCTAATTAAACCTTCTATAGTGATTTCCGCAATTAAGTAAAATGCCTCGGTTTTATTCGTCCATACACTTTTGTTCTTAAACAGAGTGGAAAGAGAAAAGAGTATGAACCCACATTTTCTGTTATTTTTAGATGTTTACTTTTTTCCTTAAAAAGGAACAGAAGCTTTAAAACTGAAAAAAAGCAGCTTTAAGAATTTTGCAAAAATCGATGTTCTACACTATAGAATTAGAAAATGAATAAATATCATTTTAAAATTTTAGGCTATGAATCTAAATTATTCTATGATGTAAATCAGGGTTTCTTAAACTTTTTTCAGTCGGGACCCCTTTTTATCACTGAGATTTTTTCGCGAACTCCAGGACCTCATAATATTTATGAAAATTTTGTGCGACCCCATAAGCAAATCCTCTTATCCACAAATCCGACATACGCGTGTGTAAAAGCGTATGTCAGATTTTTTCACTTGTACTGTAATATACGAATGCAGTTTTAATTTCTAATTTTAAAACATAAAACAATGTGAAAGTTTTAAATAAGTAACAGACGAAATGCAAGTATTCACATGCAAAGCAAGTAAAATGAACGTTTCTGTTATAAAAAGAATATGTTGAAACGTTTTCCTTTTTTCTTTGTCTGTATTGCCTTATCTTTATTTATTTTCAGATACACTGTGTAAAAATATTTGGTAATTGTAAAACTATTATAATAAGTTAAAGAAATATCAAAACTGCTAAATTGTTTAGCCACCCCCTGCTGCAGGTCCCGCAACCCCCAAGGGGGTAGTCACACACAGTTTAAGAAACGCTAATGTAAATGAACCAGGAAAAAATGAACAATATTTTTGCATTCCCTGCTGAGGATAACGGTGATACCCTTTAATATTAATATCGATTTTTTTTTAAATTTTTCTGTTTAGCATTATGATCAAAAAATAAGATGCTTTTTTTTTTTTTTTTTTTTTTTTTTTAAATAAACATGTTAAAACTATAGTGTAGAACATCGATTTTTGCAAAAGAAAGCCCATTTCAATGAAGTTATTTCCCTCTGAAAGGGATGTTGTTGACTCGCGGTTTCGGCATGATGTTGATCTTACATGATATTTGATCTTACAATTACATCAAATTTTTATCATTACAATTAGTATTTCATATATGCTTGCTACTGCTTGTTTAAATCAGTACGGAAAAAGCAGACAAAGGTTATCTGTCTATGGGAAGGGATGCCGTTACATTCGTGGAGGACTCTCAAACGGAAACTTGTTTGTTTACCTTACACACGAGGAAAACCATAAACACTCGTTCAGCTAGCTCCCTGATATTCTAACCTATGTCGAACTAGCACCGTTCATCAATCTTATACATTCTGCCCACTAATGGATTATGTGCTTTTTTTCATTCTATTTAAATTCTCGTTGAATTTATACTACTCCTTTTAATCGGTACTTATCTGATTATTTTGTCCCAAACACAGACGCACACAAAATTCCAAATAAATAAAATTGAAAGCTTTCAGATCTTATATTACGCCGAAAGGGGTGTTTTTTAACGTTTTGAGTGTTACTTTTAATTTATTAAATATCATGTTCTCCGCACTTAAACCATGAAAATTCAATTTAACAGCAATACCACAGAATAAACTAAAAAGAGATATATTTAGAATTTCCGATACAATCTTACACGCTGGAGATAAAAATGTTATTTTTTTTCGTACAGTGTTGCCATTGCTCGCTTTGAAATCGATGAGTTAGTTAATATAAATTTGTTAAAGTTTTGCAAAATATGAAATAGATAGATAATAAAGCAAATTCTAAACTCCAAATTTGGGCTTCCAGATGCCTATATTCGAGTGAAGGACTACGTTATTCAAAGTTTGATGTCTCTAGTTACCGTTGTTTTATCACAATGCTAGAAACATACATACATTCATGCAGAATCTTTATTATTTAATTTCTTTAAATATAATGCAGGGTTCTAATATTTGGTGGCAACAATTCAAAAAGTGAAACACTGTTTATAGTGAGGCAAAGTAAAATGCCAAAACGAAATTAATAGCCCTTCTGGGCAATTTGCCCATTTGGGGTAATAATAAAATTAAATAAATCACTGGCAGTGAATGAATTTTTTATCTGTGTATTTTATAACTACCCTATTAGATCATTTTAAATAGGGTCACTAATGATAGTTTAATAATTATTTTAAATAGGCTCACTAATAATAATTTAAATAGGGCCACTAATAATTTAAATTGCTAGATGACTAACCTTATTAAATCATTTTAAATAACAATAATTTAAATTGCTAGATGACTAACCTTATCAGATTATTTTAAATAACAATAATTTAACTTGCTAGATGACTAACCCTATTAGATCATTTTAAATAACAATAATTTAAATTGCTAGATGACTAACCCTATTAGATCATTTTAAATAACAATAATTTAAATTGCTGAATGACTAAGAAAATAAAATTCATTGCATTGAAGTTGGCACACTCTTTACATTATTATCCCCCCAAGAAAAAGCTTAATATTTTTGCTATGTTTATTGACTTAACTGAAATTCAAAATTAATGTAAAAAACAATCACTCAAAATTATTTTACTGTGTTTCCTTCCCTCTTTTGTGCAATATTTAGATAATAAGTATCAAATTTCAAAATAAAATACCCCAACTTATTTTTTTTAAATACTTATTTTCTTTTAAATATTATGCTTTTAGATGCTTTGTCCGAAATGAAAGGGCTTTTTCTTCTTTAGTGACATTAGGCTTGATAGCTAGAGAGAAAGTGGGACCGGATATGGAGGGCTATTCAAAGCTGTAAAAGAATAAAAGCTTTACGACTTGAAGGTTGTCCCCTAACCTTCGAAGTATTTTCCTGCCGCTTGTTAGCTGAGGAAGGATGATTTTTCCTGATCTTACTTCTAAATGGAAAATCGTAGACTTTCCATTCATTTTTGATCAATCACATGAATTTTTTGGGAAGCTGGAAAGCAATATTTTAAACACGTCTTATCTATTGAAGATTAATTAGCACTTTCTTTAAATACAGTGGTATTGCCTTATCTTTATTTATATAGTGGTGAAGTGGGAGGGTGCCTGGGCACCCACCCCTGGCTATGCGCCTGGTGTAACTTCTACATAAGCTAGGCATGACTAAGAAATCGACTGCATTTGATTTTATGACTATGATCTACAGAGCTTCTAGTGAATAAATACAAAGGCATCAAACGGAATACTGACCTGATAACATCAAAAATACGAAAAATAAACTTCTAAAAACTGAAACTCATGAAATTTTTAGCATCCGTCATCTTTAAGCAGACAGACATTATTTTAAATCAAGATCATAACTAAAATTTAATGGAAAAATTTTATATGAAAATCATCAAAAAAGTAATTAGAAAATGTATAATGCATCAGGGTTCATAAAATTTTTAAATGGGTTTATAAAATTTTTTAATATTTCATAATGTAAAAAATTTCATTCTTACTTACTCATGCACAAAATCTTTTCTTCCAATAGGTACTTTAACATGGCTAAAAGGTTCAGCACCAACATTAACAGCAGATTTTACTGTGATATATGAAGCCATTTCAGCACATCTCTCCAAAGGCTGAATAATTCCAGCATATGAAGTTTCTGCACCAAACCATTCCTTTTGATTTCGTCCAATACCTGCCCCCTTAAAGTCAATTGGTTCATTGAAATGCAACAGCCTGAAATAAGTATGCATTATTATAAGACTCAAGAAAAATTATTAAACAGCAATTATTAAAATGTTTACCCTGTTCAGGACATCATGCTGAGTTAAATACATCAATAATCCTGGTTAGTAAAAGTTATTGGAAGTGATAAATATGTATACAGTGGAACCTTGAGATATGAGTTTAATTAATTCCAGCATTGAGCTCATATAGTGAATTTCTCATATCAAGAAACAAACTTCCCCTTTGAAATAATGGAAATCCAGATAATCCGTTCCACACGCAACAAAAATATCAACATAAAAATCAATTTTTCCAATAAATAACACTGGTAAATAATATAAACATAATTTACCTTTATGATAGCTTCCGACACCGACCTTTTAAATGCTTCGTGTTAATCCACACCAACAACAGCTTCTCAACATCCTCTAGGAGTTTTGGATGGTGCTTGGAAGTAACGATAACTCTTTTGGCTACATCAAGTTTCTTAATTTCTCTCTGCTTCTTCAGAATAGTGCAAATCGATGATGTCAAAAGACCATAAATCTTCGGCAATTCCATCATTCTTCCATCACACTTGTTTACCTATGATTTCTTTCTGAATTTCAAAGGCCATGGCTTCCTTACATTTTTTTGCAGAACTACTTCAGTCAATAATCTTCTTGGGAGGCATAATGAAATAATTATTTTCACGTTAAATATAATAAACAATTGGCTTGCAAGCCCAGAAACACGTAGATCAAAGAACACCAAGTGATCTGAAGAGAGGATTCTCCAAGTCGAGCTGGATTGGGAAATGGCGCCACACATACCAACAGTTTGGCTCATTGCTTGTTACTCAAGTCAGTGCTCATATTTGGAGACAAATTTTTCGCTCATACTTTCCTCTTATCTTGAATTTCTCGTATATAGAGGAGTTCATATCTTGAGGTTCCACTATATATATATATGTGTGTGTGTGTGTCTGTGTGTGTGTATAGGGGGAAGGATATATATATATACATATAGGGGAAAATATCTAACTCCAGGGTCTAAGTACAAGTATTTTACTCTTTCACCAGCATAACTTAAATGATAACTGTGCATACAGAAAGAGAATTCTAGTTAATCTTAAGAAGTGCAAGAGGGAAGTAAGATGTTCTTTCTGACAGATGAAAAGGTGTCATTAATGTTATATATATGTGATAAAAACAAACTTAGAAGTAAAGAATAACAGAATTTTGATGGCATACAAGTGTTGATCCATAATGAGTAGGAAATTGGAGGCGAAGGCAGATTAAATCTTCAGTTTTTTATTTCAGTAAACATTTTGCAGCCACAATCAAAGTTGGCACAATAATTGTACCTATTCTAAGAGGTTTACATTTTTGATAACTTTGCAGCAAGAAGGAAGCAGCAGAGGTCCAGCTAGGCCAAAGCGTTGAAAGCAAGTGCGTTTTATTCAGGGTGAAATCTTAATTCAGACCGAGTTAGTTTCTCAATATATTTTGATTGCATAGTTAATATTGCTATAAAATTACTATTGACTGGTTGAGTTTTAGTTCCATTTACATGACCAAAATTATGTAAGAGTCATATGGCATGGATTAATCTTGAAATGACACAGTGCAGAGAGAGGTTACCATTTTTAGAATAGAGAAAGGAAATTTATGTTGCTAATTTAATCTTTCATATATTCTTTATTTTTTTCCATATACATATATATATCTTGAAACAGTTTATCTGTTATTAAATATGCATTGTGAATAATATTGTAAGCAGTTACCTGCCTCCCTATAGTTAAATTATGAGGATTTACCTGTAGTTACCTGTAAATCCTCATAATTTTAGGGCTCAACCGTGGATTGAATAGTAATTTCAAGAAATAGCAGTTCCAGTTTCACAGAGCTTTTATTTTTGCATGGATTGCGTCAAAAACTGATGGTCCGATTCATTCATTCGGTATACAAAATACGAATCATCTAAAAAGTACACTCACTTAAGATGGAATTTCAACCGAATTCTATTTATATGGGGCTAAAGTTAGGTTGTTATTTAAATTTATATTTCTTAATGAAAGAGACTGACAGAAGAAAAAGCAATTTTACAAATTATGATATTCAAACCTGGACTGATACAACTAATAATAGAACTGTGACTTTTAACCTAATAACGACTTTTATTTCTTATTTTTTAGGATGAAATTAATTTTTCCAAAAATTTTAAAGCTGAAAATATACTGAAAGTGAGGAAAAAACACATTAATAACAGTTTGCGCTCCTTAACACTTTCTGAGACAAAAGGCTTAAATTCTTAACTATTGCAGAGTTGAGCTTTCTGGTTAGTAAGATGCCATATAGTTGGGCTTTTACTGTACTATTTTCATATGGAGGATGTGATAACCTTCAAAGATTTAGATCAAGAAAATTTAAGAGTTATTTCTACATTGATAGCAATAAAATAGCATGCCCTAAAGCAGCGGTCACCAACCGGTGGTCCGTGAAAACATTTTGATGGACCGCAGAAAAATTGGGACATTATTTATTTATTTATTTTTTTTTATGAAGATTCAATTTAAAAAATGATGAGTAACAAAAACTTATGGTATATGGATTATACATTATTTCATTTTTTAACTACTACTTTTAGCGAAATTCCTTCTGAATTTAGCGACTTAGCTACTTCTGCAGGTGTATCTAGAGACATTTAAAATTGAGAATTTTCATCCATGGATATGCTGCTGTTATCAATAACAGAGCGAACTGGAATTCTCTTTAATTCTGAATTACAAACATATGCTATTGTGGTTGTTAATAACACCGTTGTTCTCCGTGTCAATAGGCATATTGATCGATTATTATGAGAACCATCTGCATTCTTGTTTATAATTGTATCCCTGGAACTTTCCAATTTTGTTGTGTCTAACTGTTAATCGATGGGGTCATTGCTGAATAAGCGATGATTATTATGTTTACAATAATTAAAAATTGGCGACATAACAGTGTCAGATTATTGATATTGCTTTGCATTTGCTGGTTTGTTCTTGCTTTTCAGTGATATGGAAATGTGAAGCTTTCTGTACAAGAAGGTAAGATTTTTGTACTTTTCATGTAATTTTTCGATGTGATTGAAATCTGTGTAGTTTGCTGATTATTGTTGCTTAAATGTATTTACCTTTTTTAAATTCATATTAGTGGTCCGCCAAATATATTGGGTTTTCCCGGGAAAAAAATGCAGGTTTTTTTAGCAATTGTTTATATTTCCTGCACATTTTTTGCAACAAAAATATTTTGAATTACATTGCTTTATATATCATTTTGAAGCTCTATTGTCGCTCTATATTTCTATAGTAATTATTTTGTTCCAAAATTATTTTAAAAATATTTACTAGGTGTTTTTGTTTAGATGTCAAAATGGGATTTTGGCAAATTTACATTTATGTCAATGAAGTATGGAGCAAGGAAAGTGTTAATGAATCTACAGCTCAACAGTGCTACCAAAAGTTTCGCCATAGAGAATTTGACCTGCAAGATCAAGAGCATCGTGGACACCTTCAGTTGTTGATGACGAAGATTTGAAGACTTTAGTTGAAACAAACCTGTGCACAATTGTGCAAGAGCATGTGGAGGAGCTTGGCGTAAGCAAAACTTGTTAATAACACCGTTTCTGATCACAATTTCTGATCATTGTTTCTGAACACCATGATTTCTGATCACTTGAATCATATAGGAAAGTCAAAGAAGCTCGATAAGTGGGTGCCACACGAATTGAGCAAAAATTTTTTTTAAATATCGCCATTTTGAAGTGTTATCTGCTCTTCTTCTCCACAACAAAAAGACACTTTTTACTTCCTTGTACGAAGTAAAAAGGAAGTATTGTAATTATGAAAAGTTTCAGGCAGCATATTTCAATGAAAATATCCATTTTGACCGCTATCGAATGCAATTTAACGATGTTTTTGCGTGATATCTGTACGTAAGGACATAATAAAAGACCCGTTTCCTCCCAAAAAATTATAAAACTGCTTTAAAATTAATTCTGAAGAGAATTTTTCGTGGCATACGTATCTCGCATAACTCAAAAACGAGTAGCCTCAGAATGTTGAAATTTTGTATATAAGACTGTTATAACATGTAGATGTGCACCTCGTCGGCCACACCAAACGTTTATAAATATATTTATATATATATCCACTCTGTTACTCGGCGGTTTCTTTACTCTTATATGTTTGTAAATTGTACATTTTTTGCTTTAAAAATGATTCAATTATGTTGTTTTTATCTTTTGGTTAAGGTTTTTATGCCTTTAGTAAATCTGTATGCAATATTTTTAGAATTATCAACATTTTTAAAGTTCTTTAAGTGCCGCTAAGCCTTTTTTTTTTATGGTGGCCATTGATTGTTTACATTTGAAACAGCAGACTAGTGGATTTGTTGCCAATTTAGAGAAACTGAACTTCCCAACAACAAAGATAACGCCTTCATTTATTATTGCCAATTAAATCATGCTTAATCCTTTCTGGAATTTTTTTGAGGAAATAAGTGTTTAAGATTTACTTCGTAATTTTTAATATAGATATTTTGAGTTTTTATGTATTTTTGCCTTCTCGCAAAGTGAGAACTGAATTAATTAAATGAGAAATACTCAATCATCTGTGAAAAACTGTTTCTTTTTTTGTTTTGTTTGCTTAATTTATTTTATACATCATTCTAGCTTTATTATAGTATTTGAATAGAACATGTGGCAACGATTAGATAATTCTATTCTTTAAATGATATACATTTTGTGCATTATGAGTTATAAAATGAACGAAATATAATACCGTTAAGTGAATCTAGTACCAGAGTGTCGCTATGGTAAACAAATACTAGAGTGAATTTTAAAGAATGCCTTTATTCTATTGTGGTTTATGCGCTGTCGGCGAAGTAGATTTAATTCAATCCTATAAGTTTAAAGGAAATGCAAGAAAATATGCGTATAATTTAATATTCCGTACAAGGAAGTCATGTAGTGTACACATCAGATTTTTTTGATAAAATTGTTACATGCAATGAAAACTGGATTCTCTATAACAACCAGCGACATTCGTCTCAGTGGTTGGACCGTGGTCAGACACCATAACACTTTGCAAAGCCAAACTTGCACCAAAAGAAAATTATGATGACTGTTTAGTGGTCTGCAGCCGGTCTCATTCACCACAGCTTCTGGACGAAACGATTACGGCACATAAGTTCTGTCAGTAAAATCAACAAAATGCACCAAAAATTGCAATGCTTGTGTCTTTTAAAAATTACAAAATAATTTTGATCTTATTTTTGAATTAGCACATATTTTCTTAAATGGTTTGAACTCTTCATTATTACATTTCACATATTTTTAGAAAAATAATCAAGTTATGCATCTATTAGCAATAAGCACTACGATTTCCTCCATAAAATTCTCAAAATATGACATCCTGTTTTTCAATCTTAAATTTATAAATATCATGAAGTCAAAATCTTTGGGTTACACTACAACTTAGATATGATATGCTTCTAACCACCATTTTTAACATTATGTTCAGTTAAAGCTATAATGTACACTTTTCTCAATGACTATTGTTTCCTCCATTACATCCCATTCTAACATTTTAGGGACAATTTTTTTTTATTATTATTTTCAATCAATCAATCAATCAATTTAAATTGATTTCAGTGAACAGAATCTCTGAATTGATAACAAATGGAAAATTGAGGAAAAGAATGACTATTTCTTTTACTACCAAAATGTTTCCCATAACATTTCCAGTTATAGAAATTCCCTGAAACTGAATTACTAAAAAACACAATTCCTATAACATGTTATGTGGATTTTAAGTACTTGAAAGTTATTTTAAGCAGCTCCTAAATATTTTTGCTCATTACCTTTCAGCAACTCGTAAAATTTTTTTTTATCATTACCTGTTATTAAATATAGCATCTCTTATTGTACCAAAAAGGGGAGTATTTGTAGATATCATAGAATTATACTCTATTCCTTCTCTGAATCCACCGAAAAATAGACCTCTGTGAGGCGGTGCATCTATGTTCCGGGAACCATTCTGTAATCTAGTAAAGCCAACCTGGAAGTCATCAATCCGCAACACAATTCTAAAAAAAAAAAAAAAAAAAAAAAAAAAAAAAAAAATTAACAATAAATACATAGATGTATCAATCACCAAATAAAATTATGGGCTTTAATTTAAATCATCAAACATCACAACAAAAGAAAAATATTTACTCTAGTATAAGAACAGTCTAATGATAAATACATTTTATAGTTACTAATACAAATTCAGCAAACAACTTCTAATCAGAACTCTCTATCACAATAAACTAATACAAAATAACATCATTTTACACTATTTTGTGGGGAAGTGAGGTATTAAGAAACAAGCATTTTTTCTCTAAATACAAATAGTAGCACTTGAACCATAATGAAAAAACAAATTTGTGAGATACAGTGAAAAAAATCTAAGATTTTTTTTTTTTTCAGCTAAAATATTATATTGAAATGTCACAAATACATTTCCAGTTCTATTAAAATGACCGCTGTATGTTTTTTTCATAATATTACTAGGATTTTTATTGTTGATTTGATTACAAATAATCATATTAAAACAATAACAAAAATTTAAATGGTGGGAAAATAATGAATTAACATTAAATCAAATTTTAAAAATTTTGAATTTTTAAAATAATGTAATGAATTTTGGCTAGAAAGCTACAGGTAACTCACTGCTAAAATTCTCTTAGATAAAGTTATCAGCAGGATATTAGAGCTCTTTTTTCTGTTCTTATATTCTAAATTCTAGTAAACTGATTATGGAATTGTTTTACAATAGATGCTACTAAATGTGATCAGGTTTGCTCAAAGCTGTTTTGATAACATTAAACAATGAGAAAAAAAATGCCCTTCAAAATATCAATGGAATTTAAATAATGTAAATCTAAATGTAAAAATATCAAGAAACATATAAATAGGTATTTGCAAGCATTTTAATTAAGAAAATGAGAAAGTCTGCTTATGAATTGCTCATAAAGTCTCCAATGTATTTCATTTATGAACTGTTCATAATGTTTCTGGAAATTAGTTTACTGACGCTGTACCTTAATATTGTTATTCAAACGGCATCCCTCATTGGAACAGAACATGTTAATTAAATTAAGCAAAAACACAACATTAGTTTGTTTTTGCAACATATTTTCATAAAGGGGGAAAAATTGCAGAATATTATTTGTTCCTGAGAAAGAAAGATGTCAGATCTCCCTCCAAATCAATAAAGTTATTCAAAACCTACATAACTAATGTCGATCTTTTGCCTAATTTTAAATGATTGGTTGGTACAATTTCTCTTTCTACCATATGGCAATTTTTATGATCTATTTTGATCTTATTTGATAAATTTATCTTTTATTTGGCAAATTTACTTTAGCTTAAAAAATTTATTCTGTACTAATTTGATCATATTAAAAACTGTTGACCACAACAAGTTATGTATTTTCCATGTTTTTGTAAACAAATGAGCTGGACTTTGGCAGATCAATAACAATATACAGAGGGGAAAAAAAAAATCTGAAAGGTTTCAGATTTTAAATTACGTCCAAAGGGGCATTTTTTAATGTCTTGTGTACTACCTTTATTTATTAAATATCATGTTCTTTGCACTTAAACCATAAAATCCAATTCAACAACAATGTCGCAAAATAATTTTAAAATGGGCATATCTTTAGAATTTCTGATACACAGTTCCGCATGCTGGAGATAAAAAGATTCCCCCCCCCAGTAGAGTGTTGCCATTGCTCGCTTTTAAATCTTTAATCGATAATAAAACAAATTCCAAAATTTCAAATTTGAGCTTTCAGATGCCCATATTCATTACGTCATTCAAAATTGGATGGCTCTACGTACCATTGTTGTATCACAATGTGAGAAACATACATACATTTATACAGATTCTTCATTATGTAATTTCTTCAAATATAATACAGGAAAATAGTATTTAGTGGCAACAATTTGAAAAGTGATATGCCATTTATAGGGTTCTGCTGCAAAATCGCAAAGCGAAAACAATAACCCTTAACGGACAAAGCCCCTTTAACCTAATAACATTCACCATGATTACATCAAGTGGCGTCTATTGTATATTTCACAAGCATAGTATACTATAAATTCTTTGTCATCCCAAACTGAATGGATGTTTCTGTCACTTTTAAAATAGTGGAAATATGATTCTTCTCCCCCCCCCACAAGCAACAAAAATACTTTGTTGTTGGAAGAATACTTTTCACTTTGGAAAACTGAGGCCTGTTTTCTGAAATGCATACAGCAATCCTTTTCACCCTTTTCTTCCATTCCAACTATATTATTAACATAAAACTATATTCCTTTGTTTTAAAATTAAAACTGGTGTGCTTTTCTAAATAACTAGTATGGCTCTCATTTTCATATCAATTATCCAGACTTATTATTGCTATTATTATTTATACATTTTGTATTAGCTGCATCATTTTTCTTCAATTTTATAATGTTTTGATGAAATAATTTTCATTTAATCAACCTGAAAGCTTTTTTTTTAATACTAGGAAAGGATTTACTCTAAACAAAATTATTAAAAGATATTATGCAGTATAGTATTTCTACATGAAATCAAATAAATTTATTCAAACAAAATTTCAAATTAATCTAATAAATTTAATGCAAGGAACAACAAAATATTATAACAATTTTTAACAGAAATATCAGGAAAAGAATTAAAATTCTTTTATTTTACAAAATATATTAAATAAAACATGGGTTTAAAATATATACATACTTTCTGTTGGTTTTTATGACAGTAATTGTATGATATTTTCCATCATTATATAACAACGGTGATCCATTAGATATTTCAACCATAGTTCCATTAAATTTTGCCTCAATCTGTCCATTTACAAGAGCAACAGAATAGTAATCCTGTAAACAGAATTTTGTTTTTAAGAAAACATTAATATGCAGAAGTTGATATTCCAAAAACAATTTTATAAGACTGAAAACAAAATATGCTAAAAATGCTAACCAACTTTTCTTACATTATACTATTCGATATAACTTATGATACATGCAGAAATGAATTGAAATTTATCTGATACAATCACCTAAAGGTTCCAGATGATTTTGAAAGTCTGTGGAGTTGATCATCTCAAAGAGTTCTGATATTTACTTATTTATTACTCGAACCTCAAATCTCTCAAATATGTACCTAGTGTGCTGACATTACACCACAAAGACATGCTAAGAAGGCAGGAGAAATACCTTATAACACAATCAGCAGGATTATTTATAAGACTGAATATTCAATCTTTATTTTTAAAAATAGCCTATAATTAACATTAACATAAAATATTGTGTTTTAATGTTTAATTAAATAGAAAATATTGTGTTTTAATATCACAAACAACACAGAATAGAAGTTTTATTATTAAGATATCAAAATTCATTTATTTTCTGGAAGTCATAAAAGAGAAAATTATAACATTTAGTTTAATTAAAGAGTACAGATTGAAGGCAGTCTTTTCGTTGTTAACATTTAAGCCTTATAAATGAGCTACTCACATTTAAAAAAAAAAAAAAAAAGAGAGAGAGAGAGAGAGAGAAAAGGAGAAAAGAAAAAATCATAATCATTAATTTTAATTTGAAGATTTTAAAGTTTAAATGATTTATACAATCTTCATATCCCAACACTGAACCATCACATAAATTTTAATATTAACATTTTTAACTACTTCTATGAAATAGAGTGATTATATACCTCATAAACTGCAGTACAAAATTATCCCTTAAGTTCTCATACCATGGATTTTTTAAAATTTTAAAGAAAAAAAACATAATTTAATTTAAAATTGATCTTTTATAATTTAAGCCGCCCAACCGGTATAGTGGTTAGCACCCCTGATTACTATGTTGAAGAATTGGGGTTCAAATCCTGGAGAAGGCACGGATGTTTGTAAATGAATGTGTGGCGAGCCAAAAGTCCTCTCGTGTGGTTTGGTGGAAGGGGAGAGGGGTGGGAAACCTTCAAACCTGTTCCCCTGGGGTGCTCTATATCAAAATTGAAGGCAGAACTCAGCAAAATTGCACTCAAGGCTGTAACCAATGGCAGGCAAAATCTAGCGCTCCTTGCCACGAAGAATTTCGTGGGCTTGGGCTGACTATGTCAGACAAGTGAGCATAAGCAACTACAACAATAATAAGGCTATTTACACCTTAAAAACTGTTAAAATAAATGAAATTCACTTCATTACAGTTTCAATATCAAAACCTTTTTTATTACAAAATTTCATAGAGATTTTTAAACTTCAAAATTTGAGTGCAATCTAAATCTTCTAAATTAAAATTTAATGCAGTTTTAAGGAAACAGTAGAAATCAGACATCAGGAATAAGAGCATAAAAATAGGAAAGGTAAATTTAAATTCTATGTCTATTATACATACATTAATGAGATAAAAATTTATTAACAATTAACATAATTGTACATTAATGAGAAAAATTACTCTATAATAAAATACTGGTCTTCATGAGGAAATGTGTTTTCAAATTTAATTTTCAAAATCAGAACACATACTTTCTTTTTAGTTTCCAGATTCTTTCCAGAATCAAACGTAGACAACAGCAAAACAGCAGAATCTTGAAGCGTTTGAAAAGAGAAACTAAAGCTTGCTTCTTCACGCAATGGCTGCCCTGGAAGCTCAATATAGCCAGTTCCACGAAATCCAACAATTCTTTGAGGCTAAAATATAGCATAAGCACTTGTTAAAAAATACCTCATGATAGCATTCCGACCAAAATGCATAATCATGTATAACATACCAAAAAAAACTTTTATATTTTTTTTCTTTATTCGTAAAATGTATATACAATTAACCAGGATTAATCTGCATTATAAAGAGTAAATTTTCATATTTTTGGCTTAAATTGTACAACAAGCTAAAATATAAAAGCTTTTCTGATAAAAGCAACTTTATTAACTGATTAAGGAGCCATTAGATGGGATTTATTATTATTTTCTAAAAAGAAAGACAAAACTATATTTTAAACACTCTTTGAAAATTATTGTGAAATTTATTTTATTTGTTTATTAACATTTTGGCAGACATTTACAATAACATATTTATCATTTTAACAGATAGTAATGTTTTAGTTTAAAGATTAATTTCGACTTCTTTTGCATCCTTTCTTACCTTTGCATCCTTTCACTTCTAAGGAAAAGTTAGTCAAAATGTTGGTTTGATAATTATTTAATCAGAATTAATATATAAAACAAAAAAGTTTTGTAAAATGTAAATTTCTAAAATGCTAAGACCTGATTTAAAACTGAAATCAACATTATTCCCAGTTTCTCTCACCTTAAATCAAGAAACCAGGAAAAAAATTCTGAAGGCCTTTTATAAGGGAGGAGGACATTACTTTTTTTTTTTTTTAAATCATAAAAGATGTATGTGAAATTAATAGCATAAAAGACAATCTCATTAATAAAAAAGAATTTAATATTAAACATTTTATGCCATTTGAGAATATAGCCATAATTAAAGATCATAAATTGAGTTCTTTAATCTTGACAAAAACACTGAGAGGAGAAAAATTAAAAAAAGAATAAGATTTGCAATTTAGAAAAATAAACTTCTATAAAAATGTTTCCTTCTCCTTTACTAAAACTTCCCTTTATATCTTGATGCCAGTATCTTACACTAAACTTTCAGCAACATTAAGTATTTTGAAAACAAATTTTCAACAAATGTGTATATACAAGACTGTAGATGTTTAGTCTAGCAGAGTGTGGACACTTAGTAGTGCATAACACAGATCATTTCACTTTATTATTGCATGGAAAAAATATTTTTATTTCTTTTATTATGCATTTCACTTAATAAATAAATAAAGAATATCAGTCGTTTTTCAAAAATAAAGATATCATATATATCAAAAAATAATAATTTGATACACTAAATCAGATTTGATTACAAAATTGTTTTAACTGCTTCCCTTATAAATTTTTTTGAAAAAAATTGCAAAAAATCATCACATTTTTTTATTTTATTATTAAATACAACAAAATGAAACAAATCAAAATATGTAGGTTTTAAGTTGAATTTTTAATTTTTTGAAGGTATAAAAGCATTTATTTTTAATATTAGTTTACTATCCCAAGTTATCTCGGGCAAACGAAAATAGTTAAATAAATCTTTGTATGATTGTTTTTGAAACAAGGGACAACACAGAGTGATACCCGACGTTCTACACTGGTATCTGGTCTCTTTTCTTACTGGCTTACCGCTGGAATCTCTTTCACGGGAGCACAGAGTACACTGTCTCCTTGGATTTGATTTTTCCCCCCACCTCTTCATAATCACTATCTGAAAAATCATCGCTTTCGTTATCTTGCATCATCGACATTTATTTTTTTCCTAATGCATGCATCCTTCTTTATACATTACTAATCCACAAGACAACATATACTATACAATAGAGAAACACGTGACCAGTCCCTCCAAAAGAACCGCACAACCAACAAAATTTGGCAAACTGCCAATCAAAGCTGAATATTTCCTTTCCTTTTCTCTAGACCAAGTCAAACAGTGATAAAAGAAATCGTACTAACAAATTCTGCTTCACCCGAGTTTTCTCATGATAATAATTAACTGCAATATATACGAACCCGAGATAACTCGGGATAATCAGGCAAGCGGTTAAAGCATCTATTTAGGCTCAGGTTTTAGGTTCTAATTGTTAATAATTAAAATGAAGTCGTTAAACACTGGAAGTCTGACAGCTTTCAAACATCTGAATAAATTCATGCATCTGAATAAATTCTAACAGGACATATGAGGTCACAATTAAAATATACTCAGTCTAATTTTACAGCTGTAGAGTTTAATAACAAAAATATATTAAATTATAGTACTCCCTTTTTTAATAAAAGAATAGTAATGGGTAATATGGAAGAATCTGAAACAAATTTGTCTTAGAAGTATTCATAGAAAGTTTCACTACATAATGGAACGCTCAGTTAGGTCAATAAAAAGATATGTCACTTTCACTTCTGCTATTTATTTATTCATTACTTTTTTCCCTACTCTTTCATATAAGAAGAGAAACATCATCTCAAAGGTAAACTGGGAAACATGGTTTAAATTTACATAAACATTATTGAGAAATATAAAGAAAAAATAATTAAGTAGTTCTACTTACACTATCTTTGCAACCTGCTTCAACTCCAAAAGAGCTATTCTGGAGCAAATCCAGAGGTGTGGAGTCTATCTGAAGATCTTTCATACAGCCAAATAATTTCTGGAATGTTATTCCATTCCACCTAATTGAACAAAAAACAAAATAAACGATATCAGAAACAATGTGAAACACAATTTTAAAAATTCAGACCAAAACAACATAGAATTCTATTATTTACACAGAATGTTCAGAAAATAATAACTATACATATTTTAAAGGGGAAAAGACCTTTTATTTATTTATCCTAAAAATACACTTCCAATTTCTTGGTATTGATTGATGGCTCTATATATGGCACTCTTGTTTCATTATAGCCAATCCCATTTATTACTTATATCTCTGCAGATTTGCAAATACAGGAACTTCATGCAATAAGGTTTATAAAGCTTAGTATTTGGTTTATTGGACCTTTTGATTTATCAGGATCCTGTAAAATATGATATTTTATACTAAAAAATGCAGCTTATCCATAAAGTTGAAGCTATCGTATTAAAATTCTCTACCTTATTTTGACAAATTTTGTAACTGAAAATTCATATCTAGTATCATTATTTAAAAACATAAAGGAACTGGACACCTTTTCTAAACACCTTACATAAACATCTCTGCTATTATATAACCATAAGCTGATAATAAATATAGTAAACACATAACAAATGTCCCATAATAGAAATATCTTACAATATGCTCATAAGGGGAAAACCAAATACCAATACCTACAATCAAAAGATATAAAAAACTATTTAAGCACATGTATAAAAATACTGATAAAGCAGTTACTACAATTCATTAGCATATTACTGGCTTAGGATGAGTACATTTTATTTACTTTCCTTTACTTAATGTCTTAAAGACTACATAATCAGATACATTCCAGTGACGTAGGAGGTCACACAATGTATGAACAGCTAATGTAAACAAACGAGGTAAGTCTGCTGCGTTCGATTTGTTGAAAGTTTAGTTTGCTCTTAACTCTTTATGAAATTTATAATTCATTTTCAGTCATTGTTTCATCAAATAATAATTTATTTATTCATTTGGTTAGTATAATTTTGATATATATATTGGTGCACTTTATTGTTATTTTCATGATGCCCATTGTTCACTGCTTTGCCATGTTTCGAATGTTCGTGTTTACGTATGAATTCTTTCCTTAATTTGACAGTTAATTCTTTTATGACTTTTGCATTATACTTTTGTTATTTGTATTATAGTTTTGTTATCTTAACTATTTAAATTTGCATGAGCAGACATATTTCCGTCTTCATATTAAGCAGCAAGTATGTGTTCAGTTTTCAATTTAATGAGGATATATTTATATATTCATTGCTTTGAAATATGCAATATTTTTATTTTCCTTAACTGTGTAAAGTGATTTCAAAGCACTACAATGCAGAAATACAATTCACCAAGTCACCAGAATATTCTGATTATTGGTACTGACAGTTTAAGAATATTACTTGCCTTTGTAAAGGCAAGAGCTCCAGATGGCCAAAGCATTTCAAATGAAATAGTGCAGAAAGAGCTATAATGCATGTTGGCAGAAATGAAATACCCATTTGGATGTCTATCATGTAACCATAACAGCACACATCAAACGTTTATAACTTTATGAGTAAAATTTGAAAGTTTTCTACTTGATTTCACACATTATTAATTAACTTCATTTTAAAAATTATTTGCACTACTTTTTTGAAATCTCATGAATCATTTCCAATAATAAATCTCAATATTGTAAAAATGACTACATAAAATCCTATTTGCATAGACTGCTCTTCTACACTGAAAAGAAAGTTACCATAAATATTTTTAAGTCATAATTTTATCAACTTAATAAGTAGAATGGTAAATATAAATAGTTGGTTTCTGAAAATCATAATAGTCAAATTTCCGGAGCACTGTAAATGCAGTTGGCCCTTAAATTATGTAAGGATAACGATGCCAATATTCTGCACAGTTCAAAATTAATATATAATTTTATACAACTTAAAGTTTAATTTTTACCATCTGATTATTATCCTATTGATAGTATAAACTACAAATTAACACATTTTTTATACTATAATATAAATGTCAAAAAGAAAAACATAGAGATTTGTGCAACTGAGTTCACTGCTGTGAAACTAATAATTTTTCATAATACATTTTTCTTCATTTTATAATAGTAAATAATAAAAAAGTGCTATCCGTATACATTTTAAATATTCAAAAAATAAATTTTAAGTTATTTTTAATCTTGTACGTTACATAATTTATGTGCAGAATTTTTATTTCAAAATCATGTAGCTCAAAAAGATTTTCCAGTGTATTTATTGAAAAGATCTACAATAGGAAATAGACTAGTGTAATTCTAATGCATATACCTCAGTCACACGTTATCTCAAACTATGGACTGACATAATCACTGATTTTAAAGGACTAAATATATATGCTAATTTAATATTTAAATTTAAAAACTCAGCAATCTCCCATTAAAATTTAAAATTAAGTATAAATTCTTATAAAAGCATCCTTTTTTACATTAAAATGTTTCAATATTATTGATGCTTCTAATATTATGGCTGTTGATATCTTTAATATCTACAATGGAAGGTATTAAAAAATTTTAACCTTCCGATATTTATGTGTATTCATTAAAAATCGATTACAACAGCTAAAATATTAAAACATATCCTGATGAAATCAATAAAATTTTAGCGGCATAAAATATTCTATGACACTAATTAATATTAATGAGAGAAACTTGGCTTTGTATTTATGTTCTTGCAGATAAACAGATCTTTCATGAATTCGGTTATTTCAGTAATTTAGAACAGAGGTCATTTCGTATGACCGCCGGGCGTTCTAGTACTATTATAACATATACATTTAAAAGTTTGGGAAAATGTTTTTCAAGGTCTCGAGAATAGATTTCAATTAACTGATATACACTTTAATATTTTTAATGAAAACATTATTAATGCTGGTGAAGCATCATGCATAAGAAAAATTTATAAATCTTACCTGGTTTTCTGCAGAAATTTGTACTGATGTTTCATAATTAATTGATTTCTTCATTTCGGTCTTAACACAGATCGTATATTATTCTCGAGTGTCAAAGATGTAGGAACATCTTTTTATTCAACCATAGCTTGTTATAAGTACTGTTCTATCCGGCATTATTTTGTAACAAATATCGTTCACATGCTTTTTCCTTGAATAACAAAAGACCCTTTTTGTTGACATCAAAGAGAGAGAAATAATTTCCAAGAGTATTTTTTAATTTCTCACAATAGACATAAATTTCGTAATTCGAAAAATCAATTAATTTCAGCGGAATATCTGCTATCAACTCCATTGTAAACATAGCACATGTGGATGTTGTTGTTCATAAACCATGTGACCACATTTTCCCTCTTCTTCTCTTGTGGAATGTATCTCATTATTGCATTTTCCTGGAGTTCAGACCCAGGTAGAAACTACAGAGTCTAGCAAAAGTAATGCTTTTCTCTAAGCAATGTATCAAAAGCTTGACATTCACTTAAATATTTATATGGCCATGCCTCATTATTTATTATGCATCATTGTCACTTTTCTAAAGAAATCTCTACAGTTTTGATCTATAAGAAATAACGAAGTTTTGGTGCAGCTTACTCTTTGGGGGGGGGGAAACATTACTTTTTGCTGGACTAACAGTATTCAGCTGCCTCATCTGCAAGTCTGTTGCTCTGTATATAATACTTCCATTAGGTTTCTACATAATTTTGAATTCATTCTCCCTTTCACAAAATACATATTTAAAGGCAATTTTGTTAAAGATTTTTCATATAAAAAATTAAGGTTTACACCCTTATCATAAGTGTTATGTGCAATTACATACCCTCCAAACTTGCCCAACATATATTTCCCAGTGTAAGATGCTATACATTACAGGTATATGCTAAGCTAAAAATAAATGGTGATCTTAACTAAACAATCCAAAAAAAATTATTACTACTAATTACATAATTAACACTCTACAAAGATGCTTCCTTTTTTGAACTATGTGGCACTGTAAAACCCAACACTAAGTAACACTATCTATATGAAGGTTCCAAATGAAAAGATTAAATTTTTTTTATTAACTGAATTTTGAGAATTAAAATGAGATTAAAAGTATGTTCTCTTACTTACATAGTAGTAGTAAAATTTGGAGGTACACCCCCATAATATAAAAAGCTTCTTTTGAGGTCCATAGTGGTTGGGCTATTAACAGGAAGTTGACCATCATGGTATTCATCTTCTACCACTAACCGACCTGAAAATAAAGTTGTTAATCAGAGGAATACCTAATTTTATTGGGAGAAATAGATTTTATATACTTTGCCCTAAAGAATTAACTGAGCAGCCCGATTTTAATGATAATTTAATTATTTAAAAAATCCATTAAAAGCAATATGTAACATCATATTACTATACCACCATATTTACTGCAGAGGCTGTTCGCACATTTTTTAGACGATTTTTATTGTCATTACAGAGGTACTTTACCAAAAAGTTTCATGTTTTAAATGTTCTATTTGATAACCCTTATTCTTTACTATCTTTACACACCATAATTTCCAAGACAAAGCCTTTTCTAGTATCAGAAGAGGTATCTTATCCCATTACTCTTGAATAGCAAGTCTAAAAAGATGGTAGGTTGACATTTAGATTACTCTCTTTTTAAAAGTTGTCAACTTTACCTATCTTAGCTTTAGATATAAGAAAACCATGGCTTTAACAGCATTTTTTTTAATAACTAGATATGAATATTTTTCTTTGAGAAGAACATAAACATAGCCTCCAATTAATTGCTTCGTTAAAAGCGACATTTTGCATAAAAACAAACTATCAACCTATCAAAATTTCAAGCATATGAATTTTTTTTAACAGAAAAATAAAATTATCTAAAAAATATGCAAACAGCCTCTGTATACATACATCTCACATGTAAAATATAAAGTAATTTTAAAAAGAAACAGATTGCATAAAGGCAGAATTTTTAAGACTCTCAACACAAAGGTAATGTTATTAAAGATTCTCAAATAGTTTTTAATAGAGCAACACATAACTGCAAAACTGTACTGCAAACAATATATATATATATATATATAATGAACCTTTTCTAAGATGAGAGCACACAATTCCAAATGAGTTTGAACTTATATGGCAGTCTTAATAGGTAATAATCAGTACCAGCAAGAGGTAAGTTCTTTTTTTTTTTAATATGGCCCTTATAAATACTTATGGGTCATATTCAGAGATGATTATCTCACAAAGACTACCATCACAAGACTCTACTGTTGTGAATATATGTATGAAATTAAATACAAAGCAAATTCAAAAATCAGACTATATTTGGTAATAATGAAAACAGAAATAGCACAGATTTTACAAGATTCAATATCTCAAATAATTATAAAAATAATCAGATACAAAAAAAAAAGGGGGGGGGAATTCACATTTATCAGTATATCTTCTTTAAGGGGTGTTGGAACCCCAAAATCTTCAAAAAATTGGGATTTCGGATTTTTACATTTTCAAATTCTCTACACTTTTATCTTTCTAAAAATACCATTCTTTAATCTCTATGAAAATTAGAACTGTAAAAAATCTAGTTTTAATATGTCATCAACTGCTTTGATCAATGAGGATTTTTACATAAAAATGCGTTTTTCTCCAAACGTGATTTTTTTATACTCGATGCACCTTTTCTCAGGAACTACTGCTTACAGGTATCTAAAATTTTTATGGCTTATTTATTAGTATTTACTGAAATGAGCTTTTTGTGATAAACTTAAAATAAAAAATTTTTAAAAGTTTTTGTGTGAGAAAAGTGCTAAATTTTACTATGCCTAACAAAATATTCTGTAAATTACTCTAAAATTCAAAATGTTTCAAAAGCTCATTTCAGTATAATCAAATAGGTATACTTTAATTACATAAAAAATTTCAAGCGTGTATCTGCAGCAGATTTTGAGAAAAGGTACATCGAAAATGGACAATTTAACATTGTCGGTATAGGGGTTTCTGATACCCCTTAAGGTACTAAAAATGTAGAGGAATAAGTCTGTTTGTAGGCCAACAGATGCACAATTAAACTTAATAAACTGCACATCCACCAGCCTAACCCAACAGGACAGAAAATGATACAAACTGTAAAATGAAAGTAAAACAAATATGAAGGAGAAAAAATGTTCTATTAAATTTAGCATATTTTTATGTAACTTTAAAAAAAATTTAATTTTAAACTGCAGTAAATCAGTAATAAAAAAAATTTTAAACTGCAGTAAATCAGTAATAAAAAAACCTAATTTATACTGATAAATTTATAGATTCATAAAATCTACACCATTCAATACAAAGCATAAATTTTGCATACACTCAAGAAAAGAGTAAATTTATTATCATACTTGAAAAAGAAATAAGAACAAACTGCCAATAAATTAATTAATATTACATTCAGGGAAAAACAAGAAGAAAGAAAGAAAAAACAAACAGTTAATAAATTAAACCTTAACTTCTGGAAACTTTGCATTAAACCAATCAAATAAAAAATTATTATTGCAACTTACACAGAAAGTATAATAAATAAACAGAAATAAAACTTTTCAATAAAAAAAATAATCACTAAGATTTGTTGATACCTTAAAAGCAGTGCAACCACAAACAGCAAAACTTATATTTTCATACAGAGCAAAGATATATATTTGGAAAATGAGATAAGTTGAAAAGTAAAAGAAAACAAAAAATTAAAAATTTGAGTAATAGGAAATGGCATAAGCCTACTAAAAACTTAATTTAAAAAAAAAAAAAAAAAAAAAAAAACTAAACTAAATGGAATATAAATTCAGAATTAAAATTATTAATTATTGCCACCTAGTTAGCTAAATTACCACTGATTTAGATTTTAATTATTATCTCTTGATTTTATATATACGACACACATACATTTTTACCATCCTTGATATCATATTTCTTTATTAACTTATTTCTTGCTCTCCCTCAGAAACAAGGGAAGAATATAACTGATCTCATATTTTTAACTTTATTTTCCATTCTTTAAATACATTATTTAATTTATTAACAATGGTTTCCATTTGATTTTGCTTGGTTTTAAAAATTGAATACTCTGCACAATCGTGCAATCAAGTTGCCTTTGCAATATGCAAAGTAACTAAATTTAATGTTACTTTCAATGCACAGTTAATTAATTTTGATTTTAAAAAATGGCCTTATGGAGGTTTATGAACATCAAACAGTTGTCTGAGATCTTAGACTGGAATTGAGATTTCACCTTCTTGCATTAGACAGCCTCTTTCTACACGCAAGCAGCCAACAGTCTGTTTTTGCTCACTTTCTATTCAGAGTTCAATAAATTTAGAGCACAGGCACTTCATAATTTGCAGTGACACATTTTACTGGGTAATTTTTAGGTGCTTGTAATCTTGTTTGAAAACCTATTTGTAATATCTTTCAGAATTGTCAGTTTATACATATACACATTATATAATTAGTTTTATATTCTATATATAAAAGCTACCTTGTAAGTTTTCTCTTTCTGCAGCAAGTCGAATCCAGGTACCGGTATTATACTTTTTTGTTGTTTTCAAAACAGATCTAGACTGACTCCCTAAATTAAATTGATAAACTATATGGCCATCTCGAAGTTCAAGTGATACAAAATCACCCTGCAACAATATAATTATTAAACTTAAAACTACTGAATGATGCATACATTTCAATAAAAAAATAAGTTACATATGAAATATTTCCTAAATCCTATATCATACATCATTAATAATATCTGAAATAAGAAAGTTTTTTAAAAATATCTTTCTGATCATTTTTAATACTGCAAATACAGTATTGTATGTTTTTCAGCAACTTCACGGTAGAATTTCATGATAAAGATTTTCTCAGATGACTGTGATTAAGAGTTTTAATATTAAACAGACAGTACAAATAAACAATTCTCTGTTTTTATATTTTCTAAACATACAAGAAATATTTTCTTTCTTCCTTTCTTATTCTCTGCAAGTTAAAAATATTTTAGCACTGTGAATTTAAAAGGATTTTAAATATGCCCTATAACATAATATACAAGGTTCATGAAACTATAATAGTGATGTTTTTATTATACTTAATACGATTTCAGATGCCTTGTAATTAAGAGCACTAACAGCTTACCTTGTAACTAAGACCACTAACAGTTTTACGGGAAAATCAATTATAAACAAAACTTTTAAATTTATGAAATTTCATAATGTGCTGCAAATTTAAATCAAGTATTCTTGCCTTGTTTGATTTTTCATATTTCTCCTATCTCTATTAAAATTTGTGATTTCATATTTAAATTTTGAAAGAAAAGTTCTAATAACAGCTAAGATTTCCATATAAATAGTAGATTGAATAACTGTCGAGAAAAAGATTAGAATGGTAACTTAAAAAGAAATATATTTTTAATGAGACTTAAGTTCCCTCTGATTTTATGACCATGACAGAAATTGGAAAGACAGACCATGCGTAATTATTACAAATATATCATAAAATGAAGGAATAAACAAATAAAAATTATCTCCTTTTTTGATAATTTGATGTACTATTATAAATGACAGCAAATGTCGGATTTTCTTCAAAAAAAAATACTCCATAATAAAGCTTATTTATAATTCCTACTCCAGTTGTTTTTCTTAAATATGTAAATGATTCTGATCTGTTTATGAATAAAGCTAAGAAAGAAAAGAAAAGAAAAAGAAAGTGAATTATACTAGTCGCGATAACTCAGTCACCAGAATATAAGTTCCCCTGCATGCATCTATGTATGCTGATATACTCGTATGTTTAAATTTAATATCTTGGTTCACTGAAGTTTAGATTTCAGGAAATTTTATTTCTGCAAGAGAACTGTTTCTACTTTAATTCAAAATTTGAGTTAATTTTAATTGCAAACCAAGCTTAATTCTTAATGAAGGAAGAAAATTTTCATTAGTACTACTAGTCGCAGATTTAGCACGAAAGAAATGTATATAAAAACCCTTGACTAAAAATTTGATTAAGATTTGTGATAATTTTAAAATGACTGTTATATTCCTTCTCTTTCAAATGGGCTATATAATATATTAATGAACATAAATTATTAATTGCCTTATCATCTGAAGTTTATTCATACTGGCATATCTCTAAATATCATTTACTTACATTATCGCTATTTGGTGCAAAGAAAAGCAAAGCATTTTCATCAAATGTTTTGAAGCGTAAAGCAACAACATAAGAGAATTCTTTATAACGCTTAATTTGTGGAAGAATTGCATAACCATCTCCACTGAAACTGTAAGATGAAAAATCTGCTTCTTCCTCAGCCCTATTTCAAAGAGAAATAGTGATAATTTTATTTTAAAAAACCTTTTAAAGTTATATAATTATTCTAAATTGAAAAAAAAAACAGACTTTATCATTCTCAATAAAATTTATTTACTAATTACACAAATATAATAGACACATCTAGTCTCTTTAAATGAACTGGATGTAAAAAAAAAAAAAAAAAAAAAAAAAAAAAAAAACCAGAGGATAATGCTTTAATTTTATGACTTGTAATTCTGTCTATGATAAATAAACAAAAGACTGAATAGTAACATTAATACTTACCCTTCCTTGCAACCATCACAACCCTGGTTAGTAATAAAATTCCATAATCCAACTTTCTTACCATCTAAAATCACTTCATAAAGACAGCCTGCAAAGTTTCTAGCTTTCAATTTACGAGGTACCTAAAACCGCAAAGAAAAAAATTACAATACTGTAAAACAAAGCTTTAGGTGTCTTAAACAACTTTATATACTAACTCTGTATCCTTTAGGAGTTCCTCCTATATAGAAAAATGAATTAGAATCCAAGTCCATTTTAGAATAGCCAGGAGTAGATGCATCAGTTACTTGAAATGGATCATTTTTCTGTCCATATGGAGTAGGTTTAACACTGAGAGTGGCAATATTCCCAAATCTGTTAAATGAATTATAAAATTTTACATGCCTTTTCTTAAATAATTAATTCTGCATGTGGAAAATTAATAGTAGAAAATCACATATGCCAAATTTTAGCAAAATGGAAATATTTCTTTAAAAAACATTTTAATAATGCTAACCTGTTTACTTCAATCTTATACCAATGTTCATCTCTGAGAAGTTGTTCATCATTAGTTTCTATTGTCAGATTATGTTGGATTACTTGACTACCACCACCAGCATTCCACAGGAAGCGAATTTTTCTGTTTACCATCTCAACAATCATATAATCTTCCTAAAAATGTAAAGGTTTTATAAAACATGACATTAAGTCACTGAGATATTTTAAAATACTATTTTACAAACTCCTAATAACCAAGCAGAATCTACAACAGAATAGGCTGCAAGATCAATAGTGCAACTGCACTGGGCAGTAGAATTAAGGGGCAGCAAAATTTTAGAATTTTGGGAGGTATGAGGTGGAAGAATTTAGGAAAGAACAGAGTCTACACTGAGCTGCAAAACAGGTCTAACATTGGCTCTGTACCACAAACAAACTTAGAACAAATATAATGAATGAAAGATATTTTTTAGAAGTTCGGAATGCATTTAGAAAGCTTAAAAATTAGTTAATATAATTAGTTTTTGAATAAGTTCAGAAAGTTTAAAGTACTATACACATATATTCACTGAGGCATAAGAGAAAAGTAAGTTAAAAAAATTCAGGAAGTAATCATCTAAACGCTAACTAACAAAAATCCACTATTTGTTTTGTATGCACAAACAAAATTAAAATTTTCAACTTTTCATTTAAATTAAAAATTAATAAAACCTAAAAGCATTTTATCATAATTTTTATTGCTACCATCATCATCATTATTATTATTATTTTCAGACTAAATCACTCGATAATATCTTCAGTTACAAGCTATTAGAATAATATTTTATGAGAAGTTATGTTAAATTGCTTCAGTCAGTTCAAGTCCACATCTTTCAAATCACAGTTGAAATATTCTGGGAAATTAATATAAATGATACACAAAAAAAATGAATTTAAGTTATTACATAAATCACTTAGTAGAAACATTTAACTCTTTCGCATTGAATTCGCCCAAAATGCCTATCCATTCAGACATCAGCAGGTTGCCCAAATGTCTGAATCGTTTTCAGCCTAGTGCTTTCCCCCAGCACGTTAATGCATTGCTCATTGTTTTTGGGAGTTGTTAAATGACATGCCAATCATTTTTTGAAGCAACTAAAAGTAGTTCTGTGATTTCTTCTTTTTTCTCTGTTTACTGTCATGCATCTTCTTTTTTCTCTGTTTACTATCAATGTTTAGCTATTGATGAACAAAGTTGCAAGCCTCTCTCAAGGAGAAACTGCACACAGTGGTGAAAGCATCCAAGAAAGACATTGTCACTTTAGTTAAGTAGGTTATTGTTAGCAATATAGCATTTTACTTGTCATTTTCAATGTTTGAAGAAAACAGAATTGGTCCTCTCTCAATGCGAATGAGCTCAGCCAAGAACTAATATAGTATAAGCACAAAAAGTTTTCACACACAAAAGCGAAGACCGAGACAGAAACATTCATTTTTACTATGAAATATACAGAATATTATATAGGTATAAATTTAAATGCAACTTACTGGCTCAGTTGTTCTGGTCATCTGAAAAGAATTAAATATTATTATAAAATATAATACACCAAAAATATTTAAAACATCAATTTTAAAATTACAAATTATATCCAACTTTTAAATGAACATAAAAAAATAAAACAGTCACACTTGTAGTACAAAAACAAAATTTACATAATGAAAATTGATACAGCAAAAGCAAATCAATGAAATGATCCATGATTGTGCTCTTCTCTCAAAGTAAAGAAAAATCTCAACTTGTCAAATAGAAGATAATCGAAACGAAATGCCAGCTTATGAAAGCATATTAGTTCAAAACTGTCAAATATACTATACTAAAATCATTCAAGAATTAAAATACAGCAAAACAACATAAGCCTTGTCAGGTGTAGAGTAAAGGAGTCTTTACAATGTTGTAATATTATATACTGTAATAATATAATACTGTAATATTAAAATATCTCTGAATTCTTTTAGTTTACGAAAATAACATAATTAAAAATACAAAGTTAGTAAGTAAACAAGTATTTATTAAAACTTACAGTTACTGAGCTAGCTAAGAAAAGTAATAAGCTATCTCTCTCCTCAGTTTTGATAGCATAATGAAGAACAATGCTTGAAGTTGATGTTGATTCTATTTCTGGACGAAATGATCGGACACAAATACCAGCAGAATCAGAACTAAGAGACACTCTTATCTGTAATGCATATATTTGAACTCAGATTAAATTATCTGCATAATATGACTTCAAATATATTAACTTTTTAGATAGATTTTTTGGGGGTATTACAGACTTTTACTATAAATAATGATAAACAACTTACATTAGATGTTTTTTGACGTGCCAGTAAGATTTTGTTCTTTAAATCCTGAACACTTAATCTCATTTTACTGTTCATCACTTTTATTCTTTCAACTCTTTTCTCAACATTACCTTCTTTATTAACAGCTTTCTTGGTAGTCGATTTTAAAAGGTCAACTAAGAGAAGAAAATGCATACACAATAATAAAATCCATTTAAACTCTTATAAACACTTAAAAATTGAAATGTAATATCACCATATTTTATTATTTATATTATAAAACATTTAGATCTGGATGTCATAATTAATATCACAATAAAATAAAAAGTCCAACATCACACTTAAAATTTTGCCATACATTTTATAAATCAAAAGAATCAGCTGAAAATATCAAATCTAAATTTAATTATTTCTTATTTAATATGCAAAAACTAACTTTTTATTGACAAACTACTTTCTGCACAAGTTTAACCATTATAATCAATATGAGTCACTTATCAAAATTTGCAAATTTTAGTTAACAATACTCTTCATCTTTTTACACAAATATCATTTTATGAATCTGTTTTAGTTTGTCTCCAACAAAGATAGTATTATTTTAATTGGCTCAAATTGCAATTAGGGTAATTTTGGGTACTGAAAAAGATTTAAATGCATCTAGATCTTTTTCCTAGTTAAAATTAACATTATTATAACAGTGACATTTATCAAATATTGCATAAAAATGTAAATATATATATATGTATAGATAACTGTTATTAAAATTCAATTCATACTTGTTTGTGTCACGTTAAATAAACCAGCTGATGATCCAACTCGAAGACCATCCAGTTTAGAATATAAATCCTCATTTATTAAATTCATCAATGTATCTATTTGGGAATGTACAGCTGTCATTTTCTCTCTAATAGTCATGTGCTTATCTTCAATATTATGAAGTTGATCTCCAATATCTATGAGAAAGATATAGCTATTAAATAAAATGATGGGTGCAATGCCATTCCAAACATAATCAAATTCTTCTCAAATTAATATTTCCCTGAAAAGACTACTTGCAAGAGAAATAATAAGTACCAAAAAGAAACAGAAAACCACTAAGATAAGTATTATCATAAATTTAAAAGTCTTAGCATCATATTAATTTGCATTTGCATTAGAAATAAAGAAAATAGATACTAATACCTCTAGGTAAAGCATCAATATCATCTTTAAATTCAGTAAGAGAATTAATAACCAGATTTATATCATCTGCTGTTTTATTGATGACCTTTTGTCGTCTTTCAAGAGCCATTTGCACAGCTAAAGAAAAAAGTATCAGAATTGAAAGAGTAAAAGTGACGAACAGTAAAATAAAATTAAGTGTTCGGGATTTAAAGAACAAAATATGACTGGCACATAAAAAAAAAAAAAAAAAATCTAATGCAAGTTGTTCATTGCTATTTATATGAAGAAGAAAGTACATAACAATATTAAATATAGTACACAGTATGTATTACAATGTATGCAGTATGTATGTATTAGTAATTTTAAAGAAGCTTGCAAATTATAGTTACATGAAATTTAAAATTTAAAACTAAATTTTAATGTATAATACAGTTTCAGCACATTTTCATCACAAATTACGGCAACACGAAATTTAAAATAAAGTTCTATAAACATACCCAAAAAATATTGTTTTAGATTATCAGCATCTTCTTTCAAATCTAAACTTATTTTTTTAATCTCAATACCTTGTCTTGTAAGAGAATTCTTTCTGCCAGTGTTAACCTAAAAATTATAATAATGAATTCATACAGTAAAATATGTAAAATTTTCAGAGATGTTATATGATTTCAGTGGGTATATATATTCTGCCATATTATTTAATTCATATTAACTTATGATGCTTAATTATTAATTTTTTGCTGCAAAAAATAACAGAAATACAGGAAATTAAAATTTTAACTGAACACTCCATTTGAATAATAATGATTTTTAAAAAGTAGCATAATTAACTAAACAAGAATCTTAGTTTAAAAGTAAAATTTTTACCTCATAATAAGCTCTGTCAGCAGCACTATAAGCATTTCCAGCAATTTGTTCAGCCATTTCAATGTTATCTATGATATCTTCATATACCTTAGCAGCAATTAAAGGGAATTGTGAAGCTTTATATGTAGAACTAAATAAACTAGAAAAGTAAATTTTTGGTAAGTTTAATACTTATAACGCTTAGCCATATGCAAAAGCAATATTAAAAAAAATGGAAAAATACACTCTGATCTACTTTTACATCATATAAAAAATTCATATAAAGTTTAATTCATTATTATTCATTTTATGAATGATAAAATTATGCTGCAAAGTTCGAAGGTTATGAATACAGATAAGGAAAGTGTCATCTGTTCAAAACATAAACATTAGACTTGTTTTTGAAAATAACAACTCTTTATCCATTTTCCTCTCAGAAATTTCCTCTTTATTGCTTAAATTAGGTCACCTTTTTGTGTAATAAAGTAGAAAATAAATTAAGTACAATAAAGTTTAAAACTTATGAGTTCTTTTATTGTAGCGCTACAATTTTACAAAGCAGAAAAGCAGAAAACGAAACCAATCATTATAATGAATTATGGGCATAATACGTTTAATCCGAATTCAGTATAGTTTTTAAACCAGTTATTTGTTTCATAAGATATGCTGCTTTCAGAGGAGATTTTTAAAAAGAAATGGAATAGATTTATATTACATAGATATAATTCAAAATATGGCATAATATACTTTAAAAAATATACCATAATATACTTCAAAAACATGATAAAGAAAACTACACTGAAGTGCCATTGAATAAGGGATAGACATGGCTATTGAAATTTTATAGTGCTGTGTGGCATCCATGCTCAAGTGAGGAAGTTGTGGTCAATGGACATTCAGCTAGTACTATGGTTGTTAATCAGTCGTTTCAATTGCCAGTATGGGTAAAACTTCTGATTTAGACAGCTTCAATCTCGGACAGATAGTAGACACTCGATGCGTGGGTCATTCAATTTCCAAAATCCTCAGCAGCTAGAATTTTCAAAGTCAACAGTGTCAAGAGTATACCGAGAATACATGGATGGTGGAAAAAAGAACTAGCCATCAGGCAAATTGCAATGGACAATTAAGCATGGTGTGAGACAGCTCAGCCATATTGTACATAATCAACAAAGCAAACATTAGCTCAAATTACCACCCAGCTGAATCAGGGTGACAGTAGTACAGTCAGTAAAAAGATCATGCAATGCTCGATTCACCACATGTGCTTTGGAAGCCGTAGACCCACGAGAGTACCTTTGCTGAATGCATGCCATCGAGCTGCACTTCTTGCCTGGGCAAGAGAATATAACTCTAGTGGACTTGAAATGAGTAGCAAGGAGTGATGGGTCTAAATTATGACTAATTAATACTGATGGGAGGCTGATAATTTGGTGTCAGATGATGAAGAGAACCTATATGGCAGATGGAAAGTAAAGGGCAGACGGCTAATGTGGTCTGGATGTTTTCTTTGGCAGGTTTGGGATCTTGGTATGTACCAACCTTCTCAATATGATTAGGGTAGAATGCGGGCAATCATCTCCATCATTTATGTTGTCCTGTCATCAACAGAAATGGAGATTCCTCAGATAACTGCCTTCACAGCAGTTGCCGATGCCTGTTTGGAGCATCTTCTAAATCTTGTCATAAATGGGACTAAAGCTTGACTTAAATTCTACTGAGCATCTTTCGAACGTTTTGGAGAAAGGTTTGAAACCTCATCACACAACATTAGCGACTCTTCCTAAATTATAGACAGCTCTATCCAATGTTTGGCAAGCCGTTTCCGTACAATGCTTCCAGAAACTTATTGAATCTATGCTTTGTTGTTTGGAAGCCATTATAAAGGCCAGAGGAGGCCCAATTTGTTATTGACTAGCTGTCTCTAATTCAATGGTACTTCAGTGTTTTCTATATACTGTTGTATGTTAAAAGTGATTTTAAAGATAGGAATGGTCCCAACCAGTCAGATATATTAAAGGAAAATATCAGTTCATTTGAAAAAGTTTAAATATTTTATGATAAGGAAACAAGAGCAATATTCTTTATTATTAAGAATATTTGTATAACAGGGGAGGGGGATACAGGAACATAAAGGTATGATTATTAGATTCATTATACTTCCAAAATATAAGAAATAATGAAAGATATTAAAAATAAACATGCTTTGATAAGTAGAGGGCTTGCTGAGATATGAAGTCTGCATGCTCTGCAGCAGGTATGACAAATTTCTGAATATATCTGGGATTTAGTCTGGCTAAAATACCCCTATGATGTTCCACTTGTTCAGTAGCATTTTCCAGTAGCATTTGTAGAGGTAAAGATCTCTGAAATACAGAAAAGAATGAACACATGAAGTTTAATAAAACTATTTAAAAAATAATTTCCTTTCAGTACTTATTAATTAAACACTCCATAAAAATTGCATTAAAAGACGTATAGAGGTAGAAGGAAATTTTTAGATTAACTTTTTTTTTTTTTTTTTTTTTTTTTTTTTTTTTTTTTTTTTTTTTTTTGACCAGACTATTTGGAATTAAACATTGCTTAGGTATACCTAAAAGTTGTACATCAGATAACATTGATTAAAATGTTAGGGAAAATAAGCAAGTAATATAATTTAATATAAAACAGAAGATGTAAGGTCAATGATTTAAAGTATATCTAGTAGAAAGGAAAATTATTTTTACATGCATTCATTAAATTTTTCCCAGACGATAGAGGTTTTTTGGGGGAGGGCAGAAAAGGAGGTAATTGTTCTTATTATCTTCTAGGCGGTGGTCTACAATGAACTCTAAAAGGATATTTTCCTGTTTATTTTTTATATATCATATATCTTTCTTTTAGATTCCAGAAGCCGCAATGTGATGCACAAACACATGGCTAATTCTCATCAACCTTGCAAGATCACTATTTTAACCAGGCTGAAAGCAAGAATGCTTTTAAGTATTAATTTAAGGAGATAATTTTTTATATACAAACAGATCAGTCTATGCAATGAGAAGTAGGGGTAAGTTACAATATCTGACAGAGCAGAAAATACAACTAGGTAATTTCCATAGGAAGAATACATTCCTTTTAAAATTACATTTTTAAGATCATATTAATGCATATAAATGCAGTTAAATACCTTAAAATTCAAGATATTAACTACAATAAGTTTAACTAGAAACAATTTTAAAACACTAAAAAGAACAATTGACAAAATTATGAAAAGATTATGTAAAATAGCTGCCTTCAGATGAAACATTTTTTACCAGGTGTAAGTTATTTCTTTATTTTTCCCCTCTTAATCTTAATAACTGTATTCCTCTCTTTTGTCTTAAAACTGAAACATATTTTAATAGCCATTAGCTTCTTTCAAATTCTTAGCACACTTGCGAAATCATATCAGTAATGCTTTAATTTTATTTAAAACAGAGTATATTAATAAAAACATGACATAAATTCTTTCAAATGATTCTTTAAAATATTTATCTAATCAAATAACATAATAATTGTACATATTTTATCTCTTTTTTCAAATATTATATAATAAACATATATAAATAAATTTAAAATCACAAGTGCTGGCATATACTATACCTCTAGAATTGTTGAAACATTTGCAAGAAAATCTTTAGCTTCTTCAAGCAATACAACAGATGACTGTAAACTAGCTTCTGCTAAATTTCGATTATTTTCAGCAAGATTTATATTATCCTGAAAATAAATTTATAAATACAGTACTATTATTTTGAAATACAACTCAAAATAAAAGTAATCACTAAGACAGACTTTTATCTTTCTATATAATTTCTTATTTTATTTTTTTAATTAAAATTTTAAGCTATATATAGCATTTAAATAAAAAGACTGCATTACTCACATATATTTTAGATTCCAACTCACGGCTGTCACATACAATTACAGAAGATTGAACAGATTTCAAACGAACTCTTCTTTCAATCAAATGAATGACTTCACTTAAAAGATCAATAAAAAATTTTAATGTATCTTCTTCAAGTGTAAACAAAGTGAAATTCATAATTGCATTTTTCACAGCATCTGCAGTTTGTGCCGATTTTCTGAAACAAAATGCATGATTTAAATGTAACACATTTAAGTAATTTAGAATAACATTTTAATGAACATAGTCCCTTTTTATCAGAATGCACATTAAATAGTTTTAAGCATATGTTTCATGCAAAAAGTGAAAGTTACTTTTCATTTTATTTCAATCCATAATTTTGATAAATATGTGATTATGGTTCATAACAACAAATGAAATTTTCAGCCGTATGCCATCACAAAGTGACCATGATATTTAAACACTAACTGAAACTTTCAACTTCAGCCATCAAATAATAGCATTTTATCTAGTTTTTAATTGAAAAACTCTCTCTCTTCCCTCTAGGATATCCCTTTCAAATATTATTTAGTACAAAATAATAATAATAATGCCGAATTACATTATGTTATTGAGGTAAATACATGTTTTTAATAACATATTGTATGTAAATGGGACATATTCATAATTATAACAACAGTTTATATTACAGCAAGTTAATGTTTTACAAAATTTAGCTTTTACAATCATCCTGATGTAAATGTTGCATTTATCCAAAGAAGCACTAAGTAGGTTATTCACATGGAAATACCTGAGGATTGGAGACTGAGGAAAAAAAAAGAGGAATGGGGAAGCTAGTTTGTCAATTCCATAAAGACACATGTGGTTTAAAACAATCAAGTTAACTTTTCAAAAAAAATAGAGAGAGAAAATAAAAACGGCTGTTAACAAATCAAAGAATATCTCATTTTAAAATAAGGTACAATTCATCTTGAGATCAATGTTAATTTCATAAAAAAAACTTAAGACATTTCAAGCTTTTTCTATCAAAACAGTATAAAAATGTAAATGTTTTGGAAACAGGCACAATTAGAGTGCCAAGATGACTGCAGCCACAAATGCCAATTTAAATAAAAATGGAATTTAATCTTACTCGACAACCAAGTTTATTCTACAGTATGGATTACACCAAACAACACTGCTATGTTTCTACATCTCAGTGTTCCCAAATCAGTACATCTAAGTTTTGTTTTTATTACATTTATTAATCGATCAAGATGTGTACCTGTGTTTCAGCACTCCAATGGAAAAATTTATTCAGCCAGTTCTAATTATCAAGAAATCTACAAGGCTTTATCATTCTATGTGCACAGTGAATAATGGGAAAAGTTCAGTCTCACCAAAAATTTTAATGAAAGTTTGTGCCGCATTCATAATCAAAACTTTGTTTGTGTTCTGTGCAATATCTAAGAAAACAAAAAATGTACTCATCTGTGATTTAGAAATTACTTTTAAGATGCAGTTAACCACCTAAACATGGAATCTTTTGAATGATCTTTCAAAGTGCATTACAGTCATTAATTTATGTTTACAAGAAATGTTTACAATTCCCATGGGTGAGCTATTTTCAAATGCATCAGTTTTACTATCGAGCATGAGCTGAGATCATCAATCAGGAGTGCCATTTACTCCGTATGTGTGAACGGAAAGTGAACAAAATTCTTGTATATGTGCTCAGTAAAATAAATATGTCAAAAGTAGGTTTTTCCCCCCTTTCTGCCGCCTCCCCCCACAATGCAGTGCTTCAAAACTCTAGAATTCTGATTTTATCATTTATTTATAAATTAAAGGAATTAAAATGTTTTGTTAATCAACAAATAAAAAATATGAATGATAGATATGTTCTTTTTCTTATTATGCTGAATTTTAAAAATATTGCACTGTTTTATGAAGTTGACTAACATTTTAGGGTACTGGAAATTTGAATTTTAATAATTTGGTATAATTAATTCAGTAAAGATTTATTTTTTAAAAATATTTTATTTATGAAGGTTAGTAATTTTAAAGTGGTTAATAATTAATTTTTAGCCCCAAGGGCTTAGCCCAGAGGGATGTTAATTTCCTTTTGGATTTGATTGGTTCACTATAGATTTTGGTCCTTTCAAATTGTGCACAAATATATTAGCCCGCTTCTATGTAAAGAAATTAAATAATGACGAATCGCATAATGTATGCAAGTTTCGTGCATTGTGATAAAACAACGATACCTAGAACCATCAAATTTTGAATAACATATGTCTAGACCCAAATAAAACTCTGAAAGACCGAATTTGGAATTTGAAATTTGTTTTATTATCGATTTCATATTTTGTAACACTTTGCAACACAACAAATTTTTTATTAACAAACTGAATGATTTCAAAGCAAGCAATGCCAACACAGTACAAGGGGGAAAAAAACATTTTTATCTATAGTATGCAAGACAGCTTATAAAAAATTCTGAAGATATGTTCATTTTAAAATTATTTTGTGATAACGTTGTCGAATTGAATTTTATGGTTTAAGTGTGAAGAGCATGATATTTAATAAATAACGGTAACACACAAAAAAGTAAAAAAAAAAAAAATGCCCCTTTGGGCATAAAGTGGTAATTTTTTCCTTTTTGGAATTATTTTTAAATTAAATTATTTTTTAAATATTTAAATTTTAAGAATTATGTTTTGAGTATAATATAGAAACTATAACAAATGTATTTTTCAGCATTATCATAGTGAATATTAAAAATGTTAATAATTTAACAATTGAATAATTGTAATGAAACTGAATACATGAAATGTAATTAAATTGTGAAATGGGTAAGGAAAAAAAATAATTTCAAGTTATGGTGGATGACTTATATAATGAATAACTGAACGTAAAGTATGGAATATGTTGAGGGAGTACTGGTTTCAAAACAGAGGCCTGTTATTACCTCAGTTGTTCCTTTTACTCTCCTCATATAAGAAAATATAAGCTTTGAAAGCTCCCACCTTATAATTTTTTCATAATATATATAATGGAGCATAGTTAAGTTTTTTAAATATAAATGGAATGTATATTGCAGTTCAGGAAGGCCAGTTGCCTTTAAACAAGGAACGGAGACCTTTATAAGCAACTGCCAGAGCATCCCTTAACCACTAATGAAATACATCAGCCAGTTTAAGTAGATCTGCCCAACAGATGGAAATGTTTGTATTAGAGAACGCTGTGGGGTCTTCTAGTTTTGTGTAAAATAAGAATATTAGAAATGTAACAATAACAGTTAAAAACATAATTTTAACTTAAATTTATGAAATAATTTAAGTTAAAATAAAAAATATGTAATAATTATAAATTTATGATGTTAAAATATAAGTTATAATAATGAAAATGTTTTGAAAAATTTTGAAATTTTTTCTGATTATTCAAAGTAAGCAATGTGTGTGCAAAAATTTTACAAATTATATTGTTGTTTATGCTTGAAAGCTTTCACTGAAAAAAAACTAATAGTGGACTATAATCACAAAGACATTGGACTGAATTTTAATAGACTCTAATATATATCAAGTTTATGTTGCAATTAATAAATAATTATTTTGGTTCAAAATTTCAGGATTGTATTTTCAGGTTTTCTCTTCATGTGCTAATGCTTTTTCACTTACCTCTAAAAAGCTTTTCTTCACCCAGCATTTTCTCTTGATGGGCGGGATAGATAAATATAAAATATCATCTTTCAAATAATAATAATAGCCCTTAACTTTCCTCTTCATTCTAAAAAATAAAAAGAGCTGTCATTTAATCTCTATTGCTCCTATATGCTTACCTATATTTTATCACATACAAAAAAAAAAAAAAAAAAAAAAAAAAACAGAAAACTTGCTCAAATTATTTGCTGATAGTGGTTGAAAGATTACTAAATCCTTGAATCATTGTACATGTAGGCTTTAATTTTTTGGCATTGAATAAAACAAGCAAAGTGGTTGAGTTCTTAGTTTATTCATATAAAGTGTACACTTATTGATGAAATCTTAACCCAACACCTGGACATTAATCTGTCATGTGATCTAAAATATAATCCAATTTAAAAGGTAATTCTGCCCTTCTTTTCTGTTTCAGCTTTTCTTTCCACTGCATTGCCTTGCCAACAGCTACAAAGAGTTTATTTTCCATTTTTATCCATTGTTTAAGAAAATGTACTCTATATAAAATTGAAAAGTACATAGTGCACCCACCCAGTGGTAATGTGCAATGAACAAGAATAAGTGCTTTAGGAATTAATTATCAAGGAATAAAATTATGTGTAGAATTTATGGCTGTGTCTGTCTTTGAGTGTAATCTTTCTAACTATGCAGTAAAGCCTCTCCAAGCAAAGAACTATTACTCCTCTCTCTTTTATGTTTTTCTGATATGCTTATGTTTTGTACAATGCAAAGAATTATTGCCAATCTGTTGCAGCTTTCTCCAAGTCATCTTATCACATACTTATCTACAAAGTAAGAAACTTAGAACCCATTTTACACAAAGACCAAAAATTGAAGTATTTTATATTTTCACTTACATTTACTTGATTTTATGGATTAGTTTTCAATTCTTTGGGTAGACTTCTCTTTGCTTCAAGGTAAAATTTTCATTTATGATTTTACTTTGTTTTTGCCTTGCTTTGGGGAAAGTGTAGAATTTTCAGGTGAACTATTATAATTACATAAAATATACTGGAATGGTTCATCAGCAAGGAATTTTTATGGAATAGAGATTTTAATTGATTTCAATGTTTCCTCCTCCTGATGGCATGGCATTGAAGTTAATTGAATTCCTCTTCTTTCATATTTTTTTATCATTAATTTTTTTTAATTTACATATTTAATTTGGGTTATACTTGTTTGAAGTATTTTAGTTTTTATATTTGTTAAATTCTTCTTTTATATTTATAGGATTTTTTAAATTTATTGCCTATGAATTTCAATTTTTGGTGTTTGTGTAAAATTGGTTCTAAATTTCTTACTTTATGTTTTTAATAATCATTTTTCAGCAGCTTAATGCATGAAAATACTTAAACACAATTACATTATTTATTTTTTTTTTTTTTTAAATTAAATTTTTAATTTTAATTTTAATTTTTATTTATTTATTTATTTTAATTATACATATATATTGACTGAGAAGATTGGATACATTTATTAGATCTCAGAATAGTGTATAATGTGCTGTAACAATTTGAATTTAACCTAATTTAAGATTTTAAATTTGCATGCTTCTCTTCCATGCATCATACCTCATTTCTCTTTCAGCTTCTTGCCTAATTTCATCAATGTCCCTTTTTTTCATTTCAAATAAAGATTTTTCAGCAAAAGCTATTTTCTCAGCAACAGCTGCAGATGAAAAATTCAAATTGGATCCCTGCTCTTGCAGATGATTAACAGAGTCTGGAAAAATAGTACATATTTAATTTATTATGGGAACAATGCTTTTGATTTTATTTAGTTTCTAATTTTTAATAGAAGATAACAACTATAATAATATGAAATGTAAATATGCATACCATAAATTTGCTTCCATATTTTTTCAAAATCTTTAATTAAAATTTCTGCATACTCTTTTTCTTCTGAACCTTCAAATGCAATTTTAGGTGCTTTAATATTTAAATCTCGACCCTGAAAAAAAATGTAACTCATATTTAGCTATATTTCGATTTTATATTAAAAATTTTAATAAATTTTTAAAGAATTTTACATATAGAAAAATTAAGTTCTCACCCGCAAATACATTAAATCAACAAGTGTTTCAAAATCAGACTTGATAAAATCTTGAGAAATGTTTGAAGCTTCAGCAATCACATCCATATACTTCAGGATAGCTTTCTAAAAGTAAAAAATAAATTAAATTAATTGCACATAAAAAAATTTATATAAAATCTTTTCAAATACTGTTCAATAAAGTTTGTTATATCTTGTTCAGTTTTAATTAAAGAGCTGCCAACTCTGCTGCAAAAATTTGTACTTTTCAAAGTCTCCTGGTAAATTTCCAAATTTCCCAATTTAATTTTAAAATAAATCTCTGAATTTCAATCAGCTCTAAAAAATTTATTTCTTGAATAACTGTTCATCATTAAATGTTGAAGGAAAGGGAAACATAAAGAAAATTACAATGACAATTTCTTAAAACAAAACTTTGCGATTCCTTTAATGAAACTGAAATAGTATAAATTCTATACTTTTAAAGTCATTTCCTATAATCATAATTTTTCTGATATGTTTATGTTTTTATTCAACTCGAAATGTATTAGCCCATTATAAAAGCCTGTAGAGCATTTTGAAGACTTAACTAACATTTAATGCATAAATATTTGTTATTTATTTTATTTTACTAAGTTTATTCACATGATTACAGATGCACAATAATTATTAACTTCATTTTAGACACTTTATTTCTGCTTTTAAATAAAGCACTTTTATACGTAGGGAAAAGTTCTTTTTTCCTACTTTCATTTTCATTAACACAAAATTTTCAGCAATTAAAAAGATGAAATAAAATTAGCTCCCCCTTTCAAAAGAAGTATGCATTTAATATTAACATAATTTCAATCCAGATCATATAATGACCAATTTAATAAACCAAATTATGCATTATAAAGTGATTTTAGGTTAAATTTACTGATTTGCAGTTGGTATACCAAAAGTTGAAATCAGAATATTTACTTGAAAAAAATAATATGGCTCTTTGGAATATTAAACTAACAATTAAACTAAAACTAAAATTTTTTCCATACACTTACAAAAATATCCCTCCATGCATGAACATACATATACATTTTAACATAACCTCTGAAGATCATACATAATATATAAAAGGAATTTCAACAAACATACATTTAGCACAGCACATAAGAAACACTTTATGATCAAATAGTAATTGTAACATCCACTTTTGAAGTCTTTCATCTTGAATGGAAGTAAGTGAAAAGATTTACAGAAATGCATGAAAATACTTCAGATTTTCATGCAAAATTAACGAAATATTACATCGCTAATTTTTATTTGTGATTCAAATATTTTTTTAAATATGCATGTTATTTTGACAGAAACAAATTAAATGGATTTTTAAAATTTCGATTAGATTATAACTGAATCAATAAACATTAATTCTAGGAAAAAGCAAAAGATCCCAATTTCCCTTTGAAAATGTATTAAAAAAATTATTGCAAAAATTTAGAAAATCACTTTATCAGAGATAACTATTGAATAAGCCAACTGCAAAGATTACTTTCACTTCACTTTTACTGCTTTTATTTATGAGAAAATAGAAATCGCTTCACCAACTTCTCTTAACAAATTTAACAATTCAATACAAATTTGTAAAAGCATCTAACTGAAACCATATTTAAACTCACATGTGGGAATGTTGAAATAATTAAAAACTACTTGTTGAACTGAAATTTTAAGATATGTTATAATTTTATATTTCTGCAAACCAATACTTTGTGTGTGTGTGCTGATTGGGCATTTAATGGTACTTATGTGTTATTGCAACAACCTTAGAAGTTGTGACCAAATTTTCAGAATGTGCCAAACTCTGGTAACCATGTGCTTAACCCTTTTTCAAGCAACCATGCTCATAACAATCCTTCAGTCATGCAATATTGCCATTTTTGTATGCATTCTTTTTGCTGTATTCCAAGTTCTAATGGTTTTTCTAATGGTTAAAGACAAATCATATTTTTTGCCTTAGATTTAATTTTAAAATATGTGCTTGTGGAATATGCCTGCAGTGTAAAAAACCATGGTAAAATTTCTGCAGGAAGAGAACAACAAGGAGATTCGTTTCATAGATAGCTGGTGTTGCTCCAGTTTATGCAATGCCAAGTCTCTCTAAATTTGATTTTTTTTAAGTAAAAACAGATCACAATGTACTTGGAAAAAAGAATAGCACAAAAAATTACAGAAAGATTTGGAGATAAATGTAAGTGTTTTTATTTTTTCATTATCATGTAATTCTTATTTAACAATTCAAATTTGCTTTTTAAATTGCTGAAGTTTGTTGCCTTTTCATATGTTGATATTGTTTACAGACTTAGGATAAATTTCGATAGTTTGGTAATTTTTATAAAATAAAGTCACAAAAACTACCTACTATCACCCAATTAGTAACTTTTACCTTAAAGATGTAACAAATAGTGCTGAGGTATTTGCATTAATATGTTTTTACTCAATTGTATTTTTATCGACATTTTTTGAATTATTTCTAGAGTTTCTTTT